ATTTAAATGCTAAACACCTCAGTGGCTGGTCAGGCATTAGGAATGCTACCAGTAAAATGGGTCAATACATGTGTCTCCAATTAGGGTTATTTGGGGGTCACCATCCACATCACAGAGGAAATGGAGTGACAAATGCCAATTTGAGCATTGTAAGTTAGTTGATTCTGTAACCAAGATTTAAAAATGGACATTAACCTGTGACAAAGAATGAGAAACAACTTTAACTCTGCCTCGAAACAAACCATCCATGGTTTAATCCATGGGTGGAGCTGTCAGCCCTCTAGAGTTCAGATGGAATTTAGATATTTACTAGCACACTGCAGGGGGATTTTCAGTTGAACAGCACTGAAGCAAAATAATAAACTACCATTGCAGGAGTCTTTTCAGCTGATAGACTATGATATAGCATTTAAATCAGGTAAACTAATCCAGGATAAAATGCAGGGAGACATGAAAGTGTAATCATATTTGAAGGCTAGTGTTGGCCTTGTTTTGTTATTTTTAAAATTTTTTTGGAACGTTAGCTTTTGGGATTAGAAGAGTATATTTAAAATTTTTTTATTTAGAAATTGTGATAAAGTACACATAACAAGAAGTTCCCCACATTAGCTGCTTTAAGTGTGTAGGTCAATCGTATTAATCATATTTATATTGTTTTGCAAACATCTCCAGCACTTATTCATTTTATAAACTGAATCTCTATACCCATTTAACAGCTTCCCCTAGCCCCTGGCAACCACCATTTTACCTTCTATTTCTGTGAATTTTACTGTTCTTCACACTTCATTAATGAGATCACATCATATTTGTCTTTTTCTGAGTGGCTTACTTTGCTTGGTGTAGTGCCTCCAAGTGTCATCCACATTGTAGTGTGTGTGTCAGAATTTGCTTCCTTTTGAAGACTGAATACTATTGCATTGGTACCTAGACCTTATTGTGTCTGTCCATTCATCCATGGGTGGACATTTGGGCTGCTTCCACCTCTTGGCCTTTATGAATAATTCTGTCATAAACAAGGGCATACAAATCTCCGTTTGAGATCCTGCTTTCAATTCTTGTGGATGTGTAAGAGAGGTGGGTCATATGTTAATTCTATCTTTAATATTTTTAAGAACTACCATGCTACTTTCCACTGTGACTGTGCCATTATATTCTCACCAACATGAGCAAGGAACAAGGGTTCTACTTTGTTCGCATCCTCAATAATATTATTTATTTCCTTCTTCTTGTTTTGTTTTTGGTTAGGAGCGTCCTAAAGAATGTGAGGCTATGGTGCTACTTTTTAATGGGGACAATTCTTGTCTAGTAGAGGTAGCAATGTGGAAGCCATGTACCTAATAGTAACGTATGAGCTGAGCTGATTGGGGGAATGAGTTTCCGGCTGTGAGTTTCTAGGCTGCCCATGAGGACTTCAGATGTCAACATTCAGTGGCTATCTCTTGCCACGAATTGACATAGAAACATGGCCTCTTTGCTCTGTGAACACAGATCTTGTGTGATTTTGGGCATGTGGCAAAGGAGGAAAGTCAGAGTTGTGCATCTTGACTACCTAACATAGCAGGCTCAGGCTCACCTTCTCCACCCTCTGAAAGAACATTCTTGCCAGGGAGATCTGCCAGGGACCCTGTTATGTGCTGGACTGTGTCCTCCCTCAAATCTATAGGTTGTAGTCCTAACACATAGTACCAAAGAATGTGATTATATTTGGAGATAGGTGCTTTAAACAGGTAACGAAGATAAAATAAGGTAATATGGGTGGTCCCTAACCTAGTATAACTGGTGTCTGCAGGAGGAAATCTCTGAAGCAGGAAGAGCAGTAGAGGCTGTGTTGGAGACAGGAGGAGTGGATGTGGTAGCAGTTTTCATGATAGGTGAGACGGACCAGGAAGGACCGGGACTGCAGGTGGCAGTCTCGGTGTTACAGGGGAGGCCTATCACTTCTCTGAGTCAGTGGGAAATGTTCATCTTGGAGGTGCAAGGGCAGAAGCTGGATTGACAGGAAGCTGGAGGGAGGTGAGGTGGCCCATTGCCAGCTGTGACGCTCGTGCTGGTATCATGGGGAGTGAGTTCTGAGGAAACTTCTAGCATGGGCAAAGTCTGGGAAAAATGCAGGCTGAGAACCCCCTAACCTGAGTGTGCCTCATGGACTCCCTGGGTTGCTGAGCCTCTGACAGATCTCCAGCCAGGAGAAACGCTGTAGGAGCTGGGACACTCTCTCACCAAAACCCCTTCCAGGGCAGAACTGCTACAGCATTGCACTTGTCATCTGCACTTTGTTTCTCCCATCCCCAAGCCTATAGTTTATTTTGTTTTGAGGTGTGTTCACTGTGAATGACTTGGAAGAATCATAAAGTATATTGAAAGCTGAGGTTTCAGGGCACTTCCTTTGAACAAAGCTATCTCTTTACCCAGATGTTACCCTGTGGGGAAGCTAAGTGCAGGAGGAGAAATGCAAGAAGAGATTGAGAATTCATACCAAGAATTACTTGGACCTACTTTTGGAGTGGTTCCAAAAAGTCATTTTATTAAAAAACAAGAAAATCTCTTGGGGAAATTGGCACCAAAGAAAAGAGCCATCCCCAAATCAAATTGTCATTACAATCTTGGCCTGAGACAATTTTCAAGCATCGTTGCAACTTTAGCAGAGACAACGGAAGCTTACCAACTGTTCAGCTGAGAATTCTGGTAGGGAGCTTAGACAGCCAGTTACTGACTCAGGCTGTGTAGCAAGTCAGTGCAGATCAAGTCCATCCAGTGGATTCTGTGAACATCTCAAGTCAATGAAGTCAACAAGTTCCTCTTTCTACCTTCTTATCAAGCAAGGTGTTGAACTTTGGGCCAGAGAGGGGAAGAGTTAATCTGGGACTTGAGAATCTCCACAGTGCATGATCCTTGATCTCTACTAGTATCTTTCAAATTGGATTCCTTTGTGCATGAGGTTGGATTGGGCCATCTTTGTGGGGGCTGGAGTGTCTGGAACCAGGAGGAAGACCCTGTGTTTCCTAGGGCTATATAACAAAAGGCTCACAAAACACGTGATTAACAACAACAGATTTATTCTCTCACAGTTCTGGAGGCGTGAAGTCTAAAATGAAAATGTTGACAGCTCCAGGCATCCTCTGAGGCGTCTGAGAAGGATCCTTCCTAGCCTCTTGCAGCTTCCAGAAGCCTCAGGCATTCCTTGGCTTGTGGCAACATCACTCCAATCTCAGCCTTCTTTATCACATGACCACCTTCTTGCATGTCTTCACATGGCCAGATCCTCCCTGTGTGCCTCTCTCTTCTTCTCATAAGAGCATCAGTCATATTGGATTAAGGGTCCACCCTGGTCCAGGATGACCTCATCATAACAAATTACCTCTTCAAAGACCCTGTTTCCAAATAAGTTAGCACTTACCAGCAGTTAGTATTTCAGCTTACCTTTTTTCTTTTTTTAAAAAAGATTTATTTATTTATTTGAAAGGCAGAGTTAGAGAGAGGGAAATATGGAGAGGGAGAGAAAAGAGATCTTTGATCCACTGGTTCATTTCCTAAATGGCTGCAATGGCTGGGGTTGGGCCAGGTCAAAGCCAGGAGCCAGGAACTTCAAGTGGGTCTGCCACATGGATGGCAGGGGCCCAAGTACCTGGGCCATCTCCCACTGCTTTCCCAAGTTCATTAGCAGGAGCTGCATCAGAAGTGGAGCAGCTGGACTCAAACCAGTGCCCATACAGGATGCCAGCATTGCAGGCGGAAGCTTAACCGCTGCAGTACAATGCCAGCCTTTCAACTTACATTTTGTGAGGGATGCAATGCAACCCAAAATAGTGGTTAAGAGGAGGCTATGTGGGTGAGGTTCTTATTTTCACTCCAGATTCCATTAGAACTGCCCTGTTTTTGCCTGGTTGAAGTGCTGGGATCCCTGAAGGTCTTGGTTTGAGAAAGAATGCCATGGCTAGATAGGTTATTGAAAATCACCCATCTACAGAAAGCTACTTCCTCAAGAGAAATAGGCACACACACATTCAGCTGGCTTAGAGACTGTTTTCATGCCAGGCTTTACAATGATGGATTTTCTTCTATACTCAGTGTGGGTACAAACAGTCTGGGCACTGGGCTGGAGCCACACTTAGAATACAGTGAATGGCAGCAGCCCGGCCATTCTGTCCCTGCTTGTTCCCATTGAGCCCCCTTGAATGGCAGTGCATGTGTGGTCTGCTCTCTGTGACTCCTCATCAACTATTCCCTCCCCCTCCCCCCCATATGCTTTCTGGTGTCCTTGGAACTGACAGCATCCCTGAATTACAGGCAGTGGGTGGTATGACGACAGGACTAGTATCCGTGTCTGGCTCCCTAAGGACCAGGCAACACTGTGGCCCAACTTTTCCCAACTCTAGAACTGGTTGTTCATGTTCACATATTGCGGGATAAAATCTAAAAGGGGGTGGCACTTTTCTTCTCCAGCCTGATGCCTGCTCTACTTGCTTCGGGAGAAACCATACAGCTGGGTCCCTCCGGAAGTGTTTTTTCACTTCATTGAAAATGTAGGGTGCTGTGGCTTAAACACATGGCTATCCTGCCCCTTGCTCCACTGCAGCATGAACGACAATGATGTTCTGCTGAGCGTGAATTGCTGACGTTTCAGGAAGGGCTCAGTGGTTTTGTGAGAATGAAGCTGTCCTACTCAAGTGTAATGAGCCCCCCAAAATTAAATAAAATAAAAAACCCAAAACTTTGTTTTTATGAGCACTAGTGCAGACGGGTACCCTGGACATGTAAATATCTTTTCTGCTCCATTGTAGCTTGCAAAGCACATGGTGTTCCTTCCGCCTAATCAGCACTGATGTACATGGAACATTCTGGCTCAGGGAACGGAGCAGAAACAAAGACCAGGGACAGAGTTTCTGGCAACTGATTATGGACTGAATATTCAGGAGAAGATCTGCAAAGTGCCAGCTGTCTAGCGCCACCCTCTGTCCCACCATACACTCACAAAAAGGATTGAAAAATGATCTTCAATGTAAATTCTTTTACAAATCCAATCTTTATTTTTTTATATACAAAAAGTAAACTACAAGTGAACAACAACAACAAAAAAATCCTTTCAGCTGCACTGACTTGAACTGTCCATGATCTAGCTCACAGTCAAAATGAATCATACAGACTGACACCACAACATTTTATTTGTGATACAGAGGAATGTGGTGTTTGGCTAACTGAGGAATGTTAAATAAAGAAAAAGAGGCCATAAAGCAACCTAGAGTCCCAGCAGTATGAGATAACCATTCTGGAGATATGCTCTTTAGATTCTTTTTTTAAACAACCAATGGTAATAGTTAAAAGCCCAAACCCACAACTACTCCGTTGACCCAGCACAAAGGGTCTGAAAGTACTTTCAGTCATTTTGCTTTTCTAATTTTCCCAGAGGACACGAACCAATGATGTGTGCAAAAACTACAGTGGAGTTGTGGGAGACCTAATCTGTGAGTTCAGAGAAAGGTTCTGCAGAAACCATTATTCCCCTAGGGGATTCTGGTAGCAAGGGAGTCCTTTGGAATCTAACAGAGTGAGTGTGTGTTGGGAATCTGCGATTTATGGCAAAATGGACATACTTTGAGTAAGAAATGAAGCCTATGACAACTTCACACATGCACTTTTTAAAAAAAAAAGTTGTCTTATTTTTTCTAAACTCAGTAATTAAATGGGTTTTAAAGAAACTCAACATTTTTGCATAACTATGTCTCTCCAGTGACCAACTACAGATTTGTTTGGAATCAATTAGCTCCTTGGACCAGTATCATTTCCTGTTCCCTGTGCGTACTTTTTTTTTTATGCAGGCAACAGTTTCATTAGAGGAACTAAGGACAGAAGTTAACTTGCTCTGATCTCCAAATGATCTTGTACCCATTTTTAAAAATAAAACAAGAAAAGAAATATAATAGTAAAAATTCAGGATCTGTAGTTTGTAAAACTACTATCATTTTAGCATGAGCACAGCGCTGACCTTTTCAGATCAATCATAAATAATAAATTCTCCCAAGAGAAGTATTTCTGGTGGATGGGAAAGAAGGAAACTAAAGCTACAGCTCTTATACCATAAATATCAGCCACTTTGGCTTAGCACTCTGAGGCTGACAATAATGCAGAAGAGCACAGATGAAGGTACACCTTAGTTCACTGACACAGAACACAGTGCGGGGGAATTTCTGAGTGGTCCACATCTACTGTTGATGTGGTTGCTAACATCATCAATACTGCCATCGCCCAACTGTCCTTGAACACATGACAATAGCCCATCATAGCCACAACTTGGACAGACCAATTATTATGACTTCCTATGGCAGGACAAAAGTCACTTAAAAGAAATTCTTGTGCCACATTGGGTTTGAATTATGTATCGATTACAGACTATTCACTGGACGATCAAGAAAAATCCTAAAAAATGGTTTTCACCACTAGACCTGCACCTGCTTTGATTTCCACCTAAATGTCCAGAAGGTCATCTCCACTTTCATCACTCTCCACGGTCAGTTGCCTCGTCCACCACTTCTTCACCTCAGAGCCACAGGAAGCTGCATCCGTCATGGGGTTCATCTTGCACACTACAGATTTCATCGTCGTCCTCCCTCCAAACCGTAAGTTGACTGAAGACACTGAGTGGCTTATTGGTTTTGGTGCTGTGGAATTGACAAGAGTCTTATGAGCAACTTGGTGTTGCTTCAACATAAATCATTCCTGAACAACCATCATATTCCCATCAGTAATGCTTTTGGCTCCCAAGTCCTAGCCATAAATGTTAACCAACAAACATTTCAGGACTTGATTCTTTATTTTCATCATATATTACTTGCTTATTTATTTATTTACTTTGAGAGAGAGAAACATGAAGAGATGAGAATGAGAGAGAGGTCCTATCTTCTGCTGTCCTCCCCAAATATGCCCAATGGCCAGGACTGGCCCATGGTTGAAGCCAGGAGCTCAGTATCCAGGTCTCCTACATAAGTGACAGGGACGCCATCACTTGAGCCATCATCTGCTCCCTCCCAGGGTGCACATTAGCAGGAAGCTGGAATATGCAGAAGAACTGGGACTTGAACTCAGGTACTCTGATGTGGGACACAGGCATTCCTAGCGGCATCTGAATCAAGAGCACAAACACTCACCACCCCCTAATATTGCCTTAAATTATGCACAGGGAGAACCAATAGTACCACTGGCAAAATCTGCCACTTACACCTTTCATTTTGAAGAAAGTACAAAAAGTAGAAAATATTCTGAGTTACCTGCATATAAAATGAGAACGCAAAAATTTTCACTGGACTATGACCTAAGACAAGTGCACTGCATGACACAAGGCACATTGTTAGAGCCCTCTTAAAATGTTCTCTTCTCTTTTCCTCTCAAACTTGATGTGTGCTAGTAGCATGCCCCTTTGACACTGGGGTTCCATAGGCACAACCCACTGGGGCCACTTCTAACAATATCCCTGCATTTATCCATTTAAGCGAATACCAAGGATGGTTCATTATCCCCCAGATGGTCTTTCCTATCTGTCCCTGCAGCATGGTCCATGCCCCTTGTGACCTGACGATGAGGGCTGGACAGCCCACTCTCACACTTTCCAGTTTGTAGCCTGGCTCCAGGTACAGCAGGTGACTGTTCACTCTCTGTTGTCACCAAATGGATCCTCCTGCAGCACAGATTCCAAATGTCCTTTCTGGCTTAGAAATCATTCCTGGCTTGTGGATGCAGTGGAAGGGGCTTAGCTTCTTATTTAAGGATTTTCATGACCTGGCCCCACCAACTACTCAGTCTTGTTTCCTGCCACTCTAGGCTTTGCTTGATCCAGGAAAAAGCTAGGACCTCTCTGATCCTTAAATAACAAATTCCAAGACATGCAACAGGATATTTGCCTCAGGGGTAGCATTAATTATGATCGACTCAACATCTCTAGCCTTGAAATGTAGGCTGCCCTGTCGTGTACTTGTGGGACAAACCTGTTACAGAAAAGTCTGCATCTGTCCTGTCACTTGGGTTGGGCTGAAGGTGGGGCACAGTTAGAGGCGTTGTGAAGCCCTTACTCTACTCTGGCCTTGGTTCTGCACACTTAGGGAGGACACCGGGACACGAACGACATTGCTGAGCTCCATCCTTCAGTGCCCTTAATGGGGTTATCCTGGCTTTCCAAGCTATTGCTCTAGAAAGACATTGTCTTACTGACTCAGTGAAAGGTGCAAAATAATAGCTTTAGGGAGATGAAACGAGAGAACACATGGAATGCACTTAGGTAGTACTTCTGTATTCCAGTCACTATTCTAAGTGCAAGTTGTGCCAGGATGGCGGCCAGTGCAGCTACACACCATCTACTGAGACATGCAGGAGCCTGTGCTGTCTTTGCAAGCTCTGTGGTACATTCTGAATGACCACGTACGTCTTCAACTGTGCTTGTATTTGAGATGCCCTGAATGCACACAGGCGGCCCTTGGCAATCCCCTCTTTTCTCTCTGGATCTTGGCTGTGGTGTCACATTTTCTTAGTAGATGTTGCCTTCTCAACTGTCAGAGCTGAAAGTGAGGGAGAATACATTCGGACATGCACACAGAGAAAGCAGTCTTTGTGCCTCCAGCAGTGCAGCAATGGGTGTACCTACCAGAGGGCAAGCGCCACTGCCCAAACTTCCTCTGGGGTTTCCCAGCATCGGCTGCGTCCTGCCGGCTTCCTCCTCTGTCAGACAGCGTGGGGCTCAGGAGCTGCTGCTGGCTGCTTGTCTGTGAGTGGCAAATAGCAAGCGGTCAAGGCTCTTTCTTAACACTGTTCTCCTCCTCTGCACTGGTCTGGATCTTCCCATAACCAGGAAGGATCAGGACAGCCAACAGGAGGAGCAGCATGGATGCTCAGTGTCCACTCCAGGGAAAAGGGAGAGGAGAACAGGTTCAAGGAGTCAAGGGGACCAATACCCCATGTGGCACACGGCACCAAGCAGACATAGCTTCTAAGTGGCACCTCTCCTTGAGCACTCTGGGTATTCCCCACCCCTCATTCCTTCCATGCCTGAGGACATCTTGTTGTCCTCTCTTATCTGGGCTTGTGCAATGGGGCAGGGATGCTGGCATTGCAGGAAGGGACAGTGGCGGGGACTGGCTGGTTTGGACGCCGTAGCCTGCTGTCCACCTGGAGGTCAGCAGGCACAGCTCTATGATGGACCCAGGGCAGACAAAGCTGATGACACTGTGAGAGCAGAAGCTTCCTGCACAGTTTACCCATTCTCTGGTTCTTCGATCCGCCACCTTTCACTTTCCTACCCAGGGCCTTGGCCTTCGTGTTGCTTCTGTATCCCCTCTTAGTTTTTTTTGATCACCTCTTGGGATCTTTAATCACAGAGAGTTCATCAACAACCCTCACTTTCCCCTGCCTGCCTGGCTCCCTCTGGTTATCTGTCCAGACCTCATTCTGACTCCACACAGGAGCCATCCACCATCCATCCTCAGAGCAGACCAACAGCAGGGCCCCTGTGCCCGCTTCCCCTCCCTGCCATTACTGACAAAGCCCTGCAGCCAGTGGCAGGGGAGTCTCACAGGCAGGGGAGCCAACAAATGAAACCCACCCCAGAATGGGCTTTTTGGGGAAGGGAGATGAGAGTGCCTCTTGGAGCACCCTAGTGGGCCGTGGAGCCCTGAGCTTCAGAATCCTTCCCTGGTCTCTGTGGCTGCCAGGGCCTCAGTACAGCATGCTGGGTGGGCTCCACGTTGTTCCCTCAGCTCATAACTACAGCCCCTGAAGGGGCAGGCCCTCCTGCCAGCTGCCTCTCCCAACACAGGGCTCTCCAGGATTCTGATCGCTCTCTGCATATTTCAAACAGATGTGCAGGTGGAGTTTGGCAATGAAAATATGCTGTGTCTTAGTAAAGGGATGCTCCTGGCACCACTCCCCTGAATCCCATTTGCTCTTCCGATGCTCGAGAAGGAAGGACAAATCCTCAATGACTCTGATGGTTTAAAGAGGTGGAAAACCTATTGAAAACATTTTTTTTTTCTGATTTGATTGCAAATCTCTTTGACTTTCAGAGGGGAAGAAAACACCTAGGAAACAGCTTCACATAAAACACACTCTCCTAAATTGTGTAAAAGACTCAAAGCCAAACCCTAGACCTGATGTTGGGGTGTTTGTTATCCATGATGCTGACTTGTTAGACAATAAAACAGCAGCACTATCGAGTTCCGGACATTCACAAAGTCTGGCTATTCATACCCATCAGTCTCACATAATCACCTCTGCTGAGTCCTGCATGGCAAAGACACAAACAGAACCTGGATGCACATGTTCCCATTGTTTTCTTTTGCACTGAAAACAATTCCTATCAGAACAGGGTCACCTTGTTTGGAACATCCCTGGGAACAGCACTGGGTTTTGTTGTGAAAAAGAGAGCCTCAGAGAATCTGTGGGCAGAGGCCACACCCACCTCAGGCTGCGTGTTAGGGTCCTGGCTGTTGGCGTTGGCATCCTCACTTGGCTGGGTGGTCTCGATGCTGGGAGGGTTCAGGAACCGGCTCAGCTCTTGCTGCTGGCTCTCTCTCAGGCTGTGGATGATGCTACAGGACTGCTGCTGTTTCTATGGAAATAGGATCATCCTTCAGTCACAGGAAGAGTTCAACCTCCCCTTCGCCCCCAGCTCTGCCACTCAAATCACATTTTCTTCTCCTCTCTGCAAAGACCTGCAGGATGGGTGACCTCTCAGGAATTTCCGTGAAAAGTTAGACAGTTGCAGGGGCTGGGCGCTGAGACTGCCTTTCTCTTCCGTTGGCATTTGTGTAACAGTGGGGCTATTGTGCTGATACTAGCCTGTGTTTTCTTGAAAATTAAGAAAGTGGCTGTGCTATTTTTTCCCCTTTTCATGTTAACCTGTGCTTATTAAACCAAGGCAGTTCTCCCAGCCCACACCAGGACTCTTTCTTGCAAGGTTTTTTTTGGCTTGATCTAGGTTACTATTGTCCACAGGCAGAGTGGACAGTGAGAGAGAGAGAGAGAGACAGAGAGAAAGGTCTTCCTTTTGCCATTGGTTCACCCTCCAATGGCCGCACCTGATCCGATGGCAGGAGCCAGGTGCTTCTCCTGGTCTCCCATGGGGTGCAGGGCCCAAGCACTTGGGCCATCCTCCACTGTACTCCCGGGCCACAGCAGAGAGCTGGCCTGGAAGAGGGGCAACCGGGACAGAATCCGGTGCCCCGACCAGGACTAGAACCCGGTGTGCTGGCGCTGCAAGGCAGAGGATTAGCCTAGTGAGCCACGGCACCAGCTGCAAGTTCTAAGAAGCAGAAAGCCTCAAGTGGGCAAGCAAACCTTTGCCCTTGTCTGGGTTGTGGATTCCAGCAGACTGGCCTGTGTTGGCACACACTAAAGCCAGGCTCCTGCACTCTCTCTCTCCATAGATTTGCTTCTTGGAGCCAGCAGTGGCACAGGGGCCCAGACAGCCTTGCTATAGGTGGTTGGGGGGTTTCTTTTCTCTTGGAGCTTTTCTGCCCCCAATAGAAAGATGTGTTTCTACAGTTGATGCTGTTCTGAGAAACAGGATAAAAAAAATCTGCTCTCCCTCAGTATTTAGTGATTCCTTGGATTTTTTTCCCCTTTGTGTGAAGCATAAGTCAAAAGCATTCATAAAAGTAAATAGCGAATAGAAATACTCGCTGGGAATAGTATATGCCAACACAGGATACATGCATTAATTTATGGGCTAGAGGATCTTAGAGTTCAGGAAGCAGCAAATAGATCCTTCAACTCCCAGGAGACAGTGGTCTCTTGTTACAGACCAAGCAACCTCATCACAGTAGGTTGGCAGTTGCAGTGGCAAATGAAGCTGGTTCTGTGAATGCAGTTGCTAGTTGATATGTAAAGATTTTTGGAATTTTGTGCAGTTGAGTTTAATAAATGGAGATCCTAAATATTTCAATAGACTGCTTTTGAGTACCTTTATGTGATATTATAAACAGGTAAATCTACTGAACGTATCATGATCAGAGCTGAAGAGGGCAGGGTGTGAACATCCTCTGGCCACTGCAAAGGGATGACACAGATGTAATTGAAAGTGACATGAGGTCAGTCATGGTAGGATCTCTTCCCACTACCCATGTGGCGCCCTCTCTTGTCCCTCCTTTAAAGAGTTCAAGTTCAAGCGCACTTACAGCTCTGATGCGCTTGAGGCACTTCTTCAGCCACATGCGGATGGTCTGCTTGGCCACCTCTTCCTCTATGGTGTACTCCAGCTGCTCCCGTGCCAGGAGCTCCTCCAACTGCAAACTTTTCCGGATATCAACGGACCGGTATGAAAGCATGCTAGGGGGTACAAAAGCAAGCACAGCTCCCAATCACCTGGGATTTAAATTTGCAGGTGTTTCAAAATTTGGAGAGGAGACAACACTCAACCCAGTGGCTGTAGTGTTTGGAAACTAAGAGCTAAGTGACAAAGGTTTGGTTATGTCACCTCTGGGTCTCCATTTCCTAGCCTGAAAAATGAGCATATTCATGGTACCTACCTTATGAAAGTTAACATATGTGAGGCACTTAAATTAGTAAGTGCCATCTAAGTGTTTAAACAAAAACAGACCAACGCTGGGCCATGATGCACAGTGCCAGCTGCAACAGCATAGACTCTGGAACTTCCTCTGCAGAAGGAAGATAGCTCCCACGCTGAGCTCCGTGTCACACATGCCTCTACCGGATTCCTGTTGCTCCTCTCTGTTCCCGGGCCTTCCTTATGAACTCCAAAGGCTACAAAGCCAGACCTGAAGATTCATTGGTATGTCAGGCCCAAACAGTGTTGAAATGAAGCTAACACTGATGATGTGTTCCGGAGCATGACATTAAGGCCACTCACAGGGCCAATGGGTCCACAGTCAAAGGGGCAACAGAGACCAACTGGCAGCTTGGGGAGCCCTGGCGTAGTCTCAGGGTCCCAGGCTCTCACTCACTCAGCCCCCTGTCTGACTTCTGCTGGAACTCAGGAACACCACTAGAGCTCAAATCCTAGCTTGCAGGAGTGCTGGGGACTTAGCCTTCTCTCCTCTGCTATATCTCTTCCCACCATGGAGGAAAACAATGCATTTGCTCTTCCTTTCCTCTGTGATGCGTTGAGAATCTGTTTAACTGTTTTGATCCTACACTGGGCCACAAGACCCCAACGACTTTGCCTGGGTCCATCTTTATGACATGCACCCCTATGCTCCAAAGAGACTGATCATTGATTACTGCTGATAACACCATGTCTGTGTGCCTCATGTCCAACCTGAAAAAAACAGGTGTCACTAGGAGAAAAGACATTCAGAGGGAAGTGACATCCTTTGCTAGGCAGACAGATTTTCTATCCCCTCCTATTCTGATTTTTAGCTTGTTCCTGGAAGGTGTGACTAATGGGAGGGAAGACTGGTAACTTGACAGAACTTTTCCCAGGTTCTTTTTATTTTGATGTTACGTATTTCAACCTCAAGCCACAATGTATTTCTGTACACTTGAGTGCTCCTGAAATTTGTGACAAAATAGCCAACACTTAACTTGTCAGGTATTCGTAAGTTGATTAAAATAACTGCTTCTAGTCGAGGACCCTTAACGGCCCGAGCCATTTCTTAGAAGACTTTTGAATGTATAAAATGTCATGCACGTTATAATAAAGGAAACCCGTTGATAGGAACTACGGTTCTCAAATTATTTTCCTTGAAAAGGTGATGATAGAGTAACCTACGTACTGCTTCATTATTCCATTAATAACCTCTAGCTGAAGCTAAATGACTGCTGTAACTCTGGAGTACTGGCGAGCCTAAGTGATATTTTCGCACAGCAGCCGGGGCAGTCCAGAATGTGATCTGCTAATGCCTGTGATTTCTCCTGGTGCAAAGTCGCAGGCACTGTTAACGCCACTGTGGATGGTGGCCCACGTTCCGTACGGAAGAAAACGCTGCATATTTGGAGAGCGATTTGGGAAAAGGAAGATGTCGCTGTTCCCTCTGCATTTCATCCATGGGCTCCTGTTGAAGAAGCTCAAATGATTTGAATGCTTTTCCTTCAAAAAAGGTATGTTGGAGTCCTGGCCCCTGGCACCCCGGAGAGGGACCCCAAGAGTTACTGTAGTGTAATTAGTCAAGATGAGATCGCCCGGACTAGAGGCGTGAGGAGGACTGGTGTCCTTACAAAAGGAGGGATTTGAGCGTGAGTGTGTGCACCAACACACATACCCAGAGATACACACAGGAAGGATATCCTGTGACGGTGAGGGCAGAGATCGGGGTGGCACGTCCACAAGCCACACACTGGCGGCAACCACAAACTCGGGAGTGGCCTGGATTAGATTCTGCCTCCGGCCTCTCAGAAGGAGCCAGTGCCCCTCCTTCCCCCACCCTGATCTCAGACTCCCTGTTAAGTGGGAGGCAGTATATTCCTGATTGCCAGGCCCCTGTCTCTGTGGGACACTGGGACAGCAGCCCTGGCCAACTGATATGGATGCCTCTCCCAGAAAGGAATGGCACAGCCTCCGTCTGACCCTGTGTTCTGTCTGCATGCTCAGGAAATACTAGGAAAATGTGTTTGAGCCAGCAGGGGGCCCAAGCGCCCCAAAGCAAGCCAGGTGCATTCTTATCAGAGAGGACCTGGGTTTTAATCCCAGTTTTGCCCAGGAGCCTGGACCATCACGTAGCTCTTCATGGCCCTGTTCCCAACAGGAAGTGGTGGCTGTGCCCCCAGACCCTCCTACTGCACCCACTCCGGATGTCAGCCCTCCGTTGCCCACCCCTCTCAGAAGGCATCCCTACAGGACGGTGAGAAAGGCCACTTGTGCTTTGTAAGGGCGGTGGACCTGGCGTTTTTGGAGAACAGCCTTGCTCTGAGCTGTATTTCCCAGGCTTCCCACCTCAGGACGTCGTGGAAGGTGACGTCACCGCCATTGTGCAGCCGCTCCATCTCGTAGCACATGTGCTTAAACAGGAGCTTGTCCTTGTCCAGGTCCACCTCCAGCCTCCCGCGCAGCAGCCGCAGCAGGAACTTCACCCGGAACGTGGGGATCACCCCCTGTGGGCAGAGCGAGCCGTCAGAGGCCGGAGGGACACGCTAGGGCTGCCCTTCTCACAACCAACCAAGCCAAAGCACACTGCCCTGGAGGCTGGGGCACAGATGTGTGCCAAGGCAGTGTGTGACAAAAAGCTAAGCCGTGCTCTTCTGTTCCAATGGGATCTGTGTTTGGAGCCAAGGAGGGTGGTAAGCTCCCCTGGGCTTCCCTGGAACCAACAGGTAAGGCTCATGCAGCTCGTTCCATTGACTAAGCCCCCACTGAGGCTCCAATCATCCATTCGCACTCTAGCATAGCCCTCCTTCAGGTACTCCAAATGCTACACGCCTCGTAGTATCTGTTACAAGTTGCTCTTCCATGGGAGGCTAGCTGCTCTCTAGTTCTTCCCCACAATTAGAACAAGTATAGACAAGAGAACTGGGCTCCTCCTTTCTGGATCGGAACAGTTCCAGACCCTGAGGAATCTCAAAGGCGTCACCACCTACCCTGCCAGCCCTGGGTGTCTTTGGATAACACTGGTGGCCGTGACTTCCTGTTGGCTGCTAACCTCTCAGTGTGAATGGTGATATGGGCTTCCCTGTGTGTATCGCGTGGAAGTAGGCTCCTAAAGGCAGCAGCATGGAAGTTCAAGTGGATCCAGAGGAGATGAAAGAGTTAGACCAGGTACTCTTCCTACAGGTCATTATCTTGGGGGAGAAATTCTGAAAGAATGAATCTTCAATGAGGGGAGGAAGAGCAAAGTGGGGTAGAGAAGGAAGGTCCTGCTCAAGGCCAGGACCCCTGAGCTGCAACACCTTCACTGGCTCCTTGGTCTCTGCACCCTCCACTGGCTCTTCCTGGCACTGTTTATGGACCTTCCCTCAGACCCTCCATGGCTGAATTCTTGTCTGTTAGATGTTAGGTCAATTATCTCCTCTCCATACTCCATCACCATCCCTGCTGAAGAAGTCTCTGTGACCCCAACCACACTCTATCATTTTACCTTCTATAAAATACTTACAGCTTATTTTTTAAAATAAAATTTGTTAGATAAGGAAACACACAGAGAAATCTCATATCTGCTGGTTCACTCTCCAAGTGCCCACAATGGCTGGAGCTGGGCCAGGCTGAAACTGGGAGCTCAGTCCAGATCTCCTACGTGGGTGGCAGGGACCCAGCTACTTCAATCATAACGTACTGCCTTCTAGGGTGTGCATTAGCAGGAAGCTGAAATCAGAGTGGAGCCAGGACTTAAACCCAGATACTCTATAGAGGATGTGCATGTCCCAAATGGTGTCTTAACAAACTTCTTGGAATAGGTAGGTAGTAAGAAGTATTTTGGATTTCATATTTTCCCCCAGGTTTTAGAATATTTGCATATACATAATGATATGTCTTGAGATGGGAACTGAGCCTAAACAAAAATTATTTACCTTCTATACACAGCCTGAAGTTGGTCTGATCACTATTTTTAGTGCGCCTGTTTTTGACTGAGACTTGTCACATAGGTGCAGAATTCTCTACTCACCACATGGGTGCTCAAACAGTTTCAGATTTGGAAACGTTTCAGATTTCAAATCTTTGGATTAGTGATGCTCAAACTGTGCTACTACTATGGCTAATCCTTGTAGGACATAAGCTGTGTGACTCCCAGGGCCTGTCTGTCTTGTTCTCCATCTTCAGTGTCTAGAATGTGCTCGAGTGTGTGTTATGACAAAGAAGGAAGAAAAGTGAAAGGAGTGGGATGATGAGGAGGAAGAAGAAACTGCTGCTGCTTTGGCTAACGCTAGAAAACCAGTAAGCTTCAGGGTCAAAATCTTCAAGTAGTAACTCAGAAATGGATCAAAACACCCTTTGAGATAACCTTAAATAATGTGTTTGTAGCTTTAATCAGCAGTGCTGCTCCAAGTTGTGATCATGAGCCTGCTTATCTGCTGTCCCTTTGCTAGCTTCAGTCTCCCCCTTTTCCCGCCCTGAGCCCACGGTGGATTCCTTCTGAGCTGCTTTGACTTCCGGTCCCTGCTGACCTCACGCAAGTTGGAGGAAGAGGTTGTCGATGGCTGGAAAGGGTAAGAGGAAGAACTCCTCTGTCCTTTCTCCTCCTCACACATTCTGCAGAATTGTCAACAACAGCTTTCTGCAATTCACCAGTGGTCATTCCATGTAAGTCCACTGCCAGCCACAAAGCCAGGTAAATTTTGAGCTACGTCAGCAGATCTCTTGGGGTGCAGCATGAAACGCGTCGTTCTCCTACCTCTCTTTTGTCATCCACCATATTCCATATGATCTGGAAGTGGCGAAGATCGTTGTAACTTAGGAGCTGGTCTTCCTCAGTAGAGTAAAACAAGGAGAAATTCTCTACAATTATGGCTGAAAAAAATTCAGAAGTCAGACAATCATGCTAAGCTGTCGCTTTTTTAGGAAAAGTAAAAACCCCTATTATACATAATGGATTTTATCATCTACATTATAAGAACAAATTTTTAAAGTGCTTTTACTATGGCTTCCAAGTTGGCATGTTTTATACTTGGACTGAGCTATTCATCCAGCTTCCGCCTTTCCAAAACATGAGGGTCATGAACACACACACACACTCTGTGTAGATGACACTGATGCCAGCTGGCTTTAGCTCTTAGTGGAGAGTTCCAGGGCAGCTTTTAAAGGTCAGATTGAATTGTGTGTGGTCATACAGCTGGTGAACAACATGTATCCTTCAAAAACACAAATGCAGTATTTCAAGGCTGACAGTGGCCCTGTCTCATATTTGTTCAGCTCAATCCATGGGAAGAGCTCTTTGGAAATTAATAATTATGATAAAGAGTACGATTCTTAAAATTGCAATCAACTGTCATTTACATGCCTCTCAAAGGTCTTTCCAGCTTCTAGGTTGGAAGGCAACCATTTATAATTCATGCTGTGAAATACCCACCCCAAGCAATCCAAGCTAATTATTTGAAAATTGTACATAATTATCTAAGTACCTGAGTTTAAAGAGATGAAAACATATTCAATGAATATCACCTACCTACGAGCAGATTTAACATGATGTAGGCAATGATGACATAAAAGGAACAGAAATACATGAGTGCTCCGGCATAATTCCCACAGTCTGTCGCCCAGTATGTAAATTCATCTGGAGTGCAGAAAGGAGGCTGCACCTTTGGGGTGTTGGGGTTTGGGGAGAGGGAGGCGATGATGAGCACAGAGAATAATTTCCGTAGTTAGTGAGCATATCCCTAACCATATAGAATAAACTTCAAAGTAACTTTTCCAAAGCCGCATACATTGGGAACATCAGCTAGAGCAAAAATCAAAAGGAATATTTCATTTATGCTGTGCTTTTCGTCTTGTAGAATGCCAAGTTCACTGCCAGTTTTAGAGGCGCAAAGAAAACTGTTTGCCTCCATCAGATTCTCTTTCTGCCACCCCCACGTGCCCCAAGGGATAAGTAACCACTAGAATGCAAACTACAGGATCAACATAAACGCTTGTATTCTTAGAATTGTATCTACAAACTGCAATGAATCTGTTCTTTTTGTATTAATATCACATTAACATAAAAATAATAAGTGAAAAATGTGAGCCCTCAAAAATTAATTTTTCTCTGACTTAAGTAATGGGTTAAGATTTAGGAAGATGGATTCAACAGCAAATCCACATTGAAATTGTATAAGGAGTAATCTCAGTTCCTGGAGCCTGTGAAGGGATGTTATGGAACAAAACTCAGGTTCTTTTGTGTGCTTGTTTAAGATAAACAGAGAGGGAGAAACAAAGAGAGAGAAGGATCTTCCATCCACTGGTTTACTCCCCAAATGGCCAGGCCAAAGTCAGGAAGCCCCAGCCCTACCATTCTTCAGAGGCCCAATAAAATACCAACGTTGTGGTGCAGCAGGTTAATCTACTGCCTGCAACACCAGCATCCCATATGAACACCTGCTTGAGTCCTGGCTACTCCACTTCTGATCCAGCTCCCTGCTAGTGCACATGGGAAAGCATCGGAAGATGGCCTAAGTGCTTGGACCCTGCCACTCACATAGGAGACAGGGATGGAGTTCCTGACTCCTGGCTTTGACCCAGCCCGACCTCAGCCATCATGGCCATTTGGGAAGTGAACCAGTGGATGGAGTAGTATTAGGTATGTACTTTCTTTGGGAATGTATTTAATTCTGCCTTAAGTTATACTTAATTTGGTAATTCTGACCACATTTATTTGTGTTCTCTAGTTCCTACCATGTGCTAGGCAGATGCCAAGTGTGGGGACAGAGTGGTGAGAAAGACATGGGCCTGTCCTCCCACCCCCATACTGCTGATAGTCTGGAGTTGGGCAGTCTAACATGATGGCCACATGTCCCATGTGGTGATTGAAATTTAATTAACATTAAATAAATTAAACAAAATCTGAAGGGCAGTTCCTCCATTGCACTAGTCATATTTCAAATGTTCATCGACCACATGTGGCTGGTGGCTCCTGAACTGGACAGTACCAATTTCCATCATTGCAGATATTTCTATAGAGAGCATTCGAGGGAGATGGCATGGACCAATTCAAGCTAATAATGTACTACAGTCGTAATTTATGCCACAAGGAGAAATACAGAGATCTGTAAGAACATGGAACTGTCAGCCTTAACTTGGGGGAAAATAACAGACAGAACTGATACTTAAACTGTGATCAGAAGGCTGATAGGGAATTAGCAAAGGAAGAGCAGCTCAGAGGCCTTGCCATACCCTCGGAGGATGTCTTGGGATTGATGAGGACCCAGCAGCCGCCACATGCCCAGGAGAAACCAGGGGCTCAGTGAACATCTGTTGAAGACTAAGTCATAGATGTGGGGGATCCCCTGTTTGCCAAAATGTTAAAAGTGCATTGTGGGGAAGACTCTATGTTTGTCGAATGGAACCACAGTAGCTCAAGTTGGGATAATGGAATACTTTGCCCTGAAGAGTTATACATTTTAATGCAATTTTAGGGACTAAAAGGTCAGGATATATATTTTGCATACACAATCTTGACGCTAACAAGGGTGATGCTGCCAATACTGCATTGCCCGAGAGTTCTGAGTACCCTAAGTGGAGGCGTCGTTAGTGATGGGGAGATACTTACCATACAGTCATGCATAATCTTGTTCCAGTCTTCACCTGTGACAATTCGGAACAGAACGGTGATAGCTTTGCCAGCTGAGGAAAAATTTGCATGCCTAATTTAAGGGAAAAAATGAATAGGATATGAATAATGAATAGTATGGGTTGTCATGTAGTGCTACCGTTGGTCACTGTCAAAACCGGTGGGTTTTGCAGCCGTTTTGGTTGCTAAGTGACTACTTCCAAAGGTTTTTCCCTCTTATTTGTCATTGATATTGGCCTGCAAGGATCGCTGATGGGACAAGCCAACTCTCACAAGGCAGCTTATTGCCACGAATCTTGATTGAATGAGTACTCAATTTGGTGGTTGAAAATGATTCTTTCCTTTGCTTCTGTTGTGTTATAAAAGGTAGAGCAGCGATGTGTGATGTGACAAGTAAGTACTTCGGATACATTTGTAGATACTTGGCTATGTCAGGATTTTTAACAAATAAAAACAAAACTGTAAGATGCTTCTTTTAAATAAAGGATCATCATTGAAAAATGCCTGTCATATAGCTACCATTTTGGAGGTTCCAATTCCTCATATTTTATTAAAAAAAAAACCAATGCAATCTCAAAACTGTTTCACCTAGGAAGTGACATATAATTTCTGGTGATATGCAGATAGAAAATATGCTAGAATTAGGAGGAGTTTTATGCCTGAATGTCACGGGAATTATAGATTTTTTGTGTTTTATTTCTAAATTTTCTAAGGATTCAAAAGTAAATAGGCATCCCTTTTTTCAATTGGAGAAAAGCGATTTACATTTTGGTTATTTAAATTCCAAGCCAGTTGGTTCCCTCAGTCTTTAAAATGATCTTACTTGGAATGAGTAACCTCTGATAAACGAATGAGAGCCAAGTATGCACTCACCTGTTAATGTTCTCTCCGTACTTCACAGTCCCAAATAAAACGACTCCCGCAAAAGCGTAGCACAGCAGCAGGAGGAACATGCCCACGATGATGAAGAAGCTCTTGTACATGCTGACCACCACGGTCAGGAGAAGCATCTTCAGTGTCACCTGGGGACAGGGCCATGGGGACAGAAGATCCATGCACTACTCCATGCAAGGCCCGGGCAGTGAATAACTTGGAAGCGGTTGCCTACACAGTGACTCTGTGGCATTTAAAAGTTGGTTCTTACTAGGTATGAAATCTCAGTATTATTCCAGAACCATCAGCATTGAGAAATTCCATTCGTACCTCAAACTATTCAATCTCTCCAGCCAAATTAATAAAAAGATACCCTGTTTGGTTTCTGTCTGGTCTTCTCCTGCTCCCCAACTTCTGTAATAAGGGCTACAAATTTGTTACCTAGAATGAGTGGATTCAAGTTTCTATAACACACAGATTTTCACAAAGACAAAACTAAACAGTATAATACTAAATAATAAATAAATATTAAATATATTGATTTTATGGCTACACAGAAGGCATATGGGAAATAATGTTAGTAATAACAAAGGAAAATTTTTAAAAAAATATAGGTGGAAGAGATACATGAACATACACTAACAAAGAAGGAAATATGGAATTATGAAACCATGCTTTGCATTAAGGATATTTTGGTGGTACCATTACTTCTAAAAATAAAGATAACAAAAGTAAACATACACTAGATCATTTTTTTTTTTTTTTGCTTTCATGGCTGGTATGCTTTCTTTTATGGGTGGTTGAGTTCACTTAGCAAATATAAAGAATAAATAACATAAATGGCAGGAAACAAATCATCAGATGATGGTTCCTGCTGCATTTTGGTATTTAATATTTGTTAATCCTGACTTATGATGTCTGGTAAGTTGCTGAGCACAGCCCTGAACACCCAGAGGCCGGCTGAGGTCGATCTGCCAGAGGCCTGCTCTTCAGTGTGTGTGTAGCCTTGGAGAAATTCTTCCCAGCACACTCACATGCTTTCCACAGATGGAGAAAAACCTAAACACAATCACGCAGGCGCCCATCATGTAGGTGTATGCATTCTGAAATACAAACAGAAGACAGCGGCTTGTCATTTGCACAGAAGATCTTGTTACAGTTCCATTTTTCATAAGTCTTCTGGGAAGCCTACTGAATAATTAGTTTAATAAAATGTGAAAATTCCTATAAATTTCTTTTAATCTAAAAAAGGTGCTGAAAAGGTCACTGCCAAAACTCATGAATATTAGATGTAAAATTCAAATCTCACATGAAACTTAAGGTTCTGTTTTGCTCAGCTGAAGTCCACATTTTGAAATTTATTTTACATAAAATGGTGATCAGCTCCTTGGAGGACAATGGCATGAGAAAAGAACACAGGATAATAACGCAACAGGATAAAGCTGAGGGAGATGGGAGACAAAGGAATCCTGGCAGAGGAAGGGCTGGTGATGGAAAAGATGGCCAAGGTCTGGATCCTTCTCTCTGAAGGTCCCGAGAACTCTGCACACCAGCCACATGTTCTCTAGGGTGCCCTTGGCCCAGCGGCACACACCCAGCTCTTTCTGCAAGTGTATGGCTAGCAGCAACAAGAGATGCTTCTGTGCTGCATGACTAAGAAAGCGTCACTGGGAGACAAAGATCCCACCGGCTCTCACTGCAGTAACAGCTCTGACATTCAGCTGGTGCCAAGGCGAGAATGTTCTATCTAGAGGAGCTCGCCTCGCCAAATGACAACAGCCACAGATGGGCCCCTGGGAAGGGGGTCCAGCGAGAACCTTGGTGAGCTACAAGTAGAGAATGTGTGTACACGGCATCTTGGATGCGGGACAAGGACTGCACCTTCCTTCCTATTGGCCCACTGCAAAATGTGGTAGATGCAGGAGATGCAGTTCTTAGAGTTGACCGAAAGCAGGCAGGCAGAACAGGCAGGCTGGTCTTTCTGATTTGGAATGTCCTCCCCTGGGACACCGGGGATCAGGAAGTCTCCTCTACTACTCAGCTTGCACTGAGTAACTTTCAGAAACAAAGAACCCCGGCCTTGTCTTCCACCTTAGCTCACGACCTTCACCCCACATTTGCTGGAAGTAATGGCAGCCAACAGCTTCTAGGGTAATGACCCGAACTCTTTACCTGGACTGTGAGGTCCTGAGAGGCCCGATACCTCACTACCCTTCTGAACCCTGTACTGTGCCACTCTCACTCCTACTTGACACACAATCTTGCCGCCTTCTAGCTCCCGATGGACACCTGCCTGAAATGTTCCCCCCGCAGCTGATGCAAGGAACCCAACCATCACTCTCTCAGGGCTGCCTTCCAAGACTTCTCTGGTGAAGCCTCTGTCACTGTTTGTTTTCCCAGGAACTCTCCTTTGTCTCCCCCTACACTGTGACCATAGTTCTGATTGATTTGTGAATTTTTAGCCAGCATCCCAGGCTGTAAGGTTCAATAGAGCAGTGACGGCCTTGGCTTTTCTTGCTACGTTTGTCTCAATTCTAGCACAGTACTTGGCACATCTTTTGCAACGTCATTAATTGTTTGAGAAAATAAATGAGGGTGACTGAGAGCTCACCTATGCCCCAAGCAGCCTCTGGTACTGAAGGTGACTCTAGTTTAAGGAGAACACTCAATATGTTCCCAAGCAAAGCACCCGCGGACTAAAGCAAGCCCTTGATGATGAGCGAATGGGGTTAATGTATTATGGCCACTTCTCAGTATGCCTCTGCCATCAAAAAGATTTGATAGGGACAGGGGAAAACTGACACTACTACTCTGGGTCAAAATCCAAAAATTCCATAGTCCTACATTATCCAGTTTTACTTTCTATTGTTTTAGTTACTTTCAACTATGGTCTGAAAGTATTAAATGGAAAACTCCTTAAATAATCCATCAATTTAAAAAGCTCTTATTATAATACATTGTCATTTTTATTTTTGCTGTAACTGCCTGATTTATAAATGATGCTCTATCACAGGTGTGTGTAAGACAGTGTACACGGGGCTCAGTACCTTCCATGGGTTCAAGCATCTGTGGAACATCCTGAACTCATCTCTCATAGGAGAAAGGAACAGCTCTATTTTTATCACAGGTAGTCCTTGATGTAGGGTTTTGTTTTTTTTTTTGTACTTTATAATGGTGAGAAAGCAATAACGCATTCAGTAGACACTGGGCTGCCAGTATTGGATTTGATCTTTTCCAGGGCTCCCAATATGTATTCTGAGCCTTTCTTGTGATACTGGGCTATAGCTGTGGGCAGCTGTGGGTACAGCTCCTGGGCAGCCCAGCTGTGCCATCATGAGGGGAGAGCACACTGAGGCTAAGTTGTTCAGTAGGTTAACTGTGCTCAACACATTTTTATAAAAGATTTATTTGAAAGGCAGAGAGGTATAGGCAGATATCTATATCTATACAATTATATATATGTGTGTATGTGTATGTGTGTATATATGTGTATATACACACATATGTATACACATATATGTATACACATATATACACATATGTATATGTGTATATATATGTATATATATGTGTGTGTATATATGTATATGTATATATGTATCTGGTTCATTCCTCAGATGGCCTCAACAGCTGGAGCTGCACCACTCTGAAGCCAGGAGACAGGAGATTCCTCCAGGTCTCCCACATGGGTGCACAGGCCCAAGGACTTGGGCCATCTTCTGCTGCTTTCCCAGGCCAGAGAGAGAGCTGGATCAGAAGTGGAGCAGCCAGGACTCGAACCAGCACCCATATGGGATGCTGGTACTGCAGGCAGCAGCTTTACCTGCTACACCATAGTGCCGGCCCCACCAATGCATTTTTGACCTAATGATATTTCCAAGTTAGGATGGGTGTATCAGGACATAATCCTGTTGTGAGTCAGGGCATCTGTAATGCCTGATATAATATAAGCTCTAATTTTTATAGTTTGAGAAAGATTCCAGGTATGAGCTCACTTGATCTTCACAAGGCACATATGAAATAGGTGGATTATGAAGTTATATCCCCAGGTTAGAGCAGGAAACAAAGGATTTCCTAAGACAAACAACCCAGTGAAGACTGGGAAACGGTGTAGCCAATCTAGGACTCAATCATCCAGAATTGCACTGCCCAATATTTGAATCAACAATCACCTGCGTTATTGTATGCTTGATATGCGGTCAATCAAAATGGAAATGTGCAGTGAGTATAAAGCACAGAGATGTCCTACTGAAAAGGATGCAACTCATCTCACTGATAAATATTAAATACTGCTTATGTGTTGGAATAATATACTGTATACAGTAGGTTAAAATACATGATTAGATTAATGTCACTGTTTCTTTTTTTGATTTTAAAGGGTTTCTGGAAATTTTTAAATGACATCTTTGGCCACATTTTATTTCCATTGGGCAACACAGCTCTAGATTACAGTCAACACCACCCAGAGTTGTAAAAATTTCAAGCCAGATTTCAGACTAAATGGAGTATGATGGCATTTTAGGCACAATGGTGAGAATCTAGAGTAGACAGGGGGATGATGTGCTTTAGAGAAACAGCAGCTAGCTGTGTAGTAGAGAACAAGGCAGTGGGAGCCCCTGAGAATCCCATCATGGAATGCCCATGACAATACAGTGAAGGTGATGCTACACTCCAGCTCAGAGCACAGAGCCTGGGGCACCTGAAACAACCCTCTCACCTGAATTCAGACAGTTCCTTTCATGTGTTTCAGTATTCCTTCCTCTCTCATTTTACTTCTTGGTAAAATGATGGGATAACCCTGGAGATTTTAAGTTCCTTCTCTTTCTGGCTTGCACACTATAGGGCTTGGAAGAGGGAGGTTTGCCTGTGTGAACAGCGTGTGCATGTGTGTGTGTGTAAGGCAGTCACTATCTAAGCTGGACTTTAGGGAGCTTCCTCTAACACCCACAAGAGCAGGTTGACACGGAGTACAGGACTGGAGGTGAGATGGAACCGAGCGGCACTGACATGCTCAACTCAAAAGTTTTGTTATGTGCTTACCAGGAGAGCGAAGTGAAGTACCACCCACACCACACCGAGGGAGGTCACCAGGAGATCATATCGGTTCCTCCTGCTTTGCCAGAAGCCAGCAGGCGACATTGCTATGATCTTCATTGTGACCTGGGCAAAAAACAATGAAGAGAATACATAGGAAACAGATGTTTAGTGCCTACTTAAACCTGCTAACCTGAGATGTATATTTTTACTTATTTATTTACTCCAATGGAGTGAGAAAAAGACCGATCACTCCCATTTTCTTGTTCATTCTCTAAATATTCATAAGAACAGGTGTTGGGCCAGGAGCAAAGCAAGGAGGTGGAAACTCAATCCAGGTCTCTTTTGTGGCTGGCAGGAGCCAAACTACTTGAGCCATCACTGCTGCCCCCCAGGGTCTGCACAGGCAGGAAACTGGAACCAAGAGCCAAGCTGGGTATGGAATCTAGGTGTTGTGATATGGGATGCGGGCATCTTAACCTGCGTTTTAAGTGCTAGTCCAAATACCCTTCCGATATGGTGTTCTTTTTTTTTTTTTTTTTTTGACAGGCAGAGTGGACAGAGAGAGACAGAGAGAAAGGTCTTCCTTTGCAGTTGGTTCACCCTCCAATGGCCGCCGCGGCCAGCGCGCTGCGGCCGGCGCACCGCGCTGATCCGATGGCAGGAGCCAGGTACTTCTCCTGGTCTCCCATGGGGTGCAGGGCCCAAGCACTTGGGCCATCCTCCACTGCACTCCCTGGCCACAGCAGAGAGCTGGCCTGGAAGAGGGGCAACCGGGACAGAATCCGGCGCCCCGACCGGGACTAGAACCCGGTGTGCCGGCGCCGCAAGGCGGAGGATTAGCCTAGTGAACCGCGGCACCGGCCCGATATGGTATTCTTAAAATATGTAGTCAGCAAAAAGAAGAGGTTAAGTGCCAAGATATTTGTATTTGATTTTAAAGCTAAGTAGGTCCCGAATCTATATTCTTCACATTTTTTTCTTCCTGTTTCATGATTAGTTTGAATAACAGGACATTTTCCATCCTCCAGGAAAAGTCCATAGTTTTGGGGAAACATCAATCAGTATAGGGTGACATGAGAATCTGCTTGTGTTGAAGATCACCCTGGAAAGTGATGTTATATGGGCCACATAGGCTTGGCTGAGCCCACTGTCTTTGCCACCACCTTGTAATGAGTGGCCGAATGACGGTGGCTTGTGTAGTCTGTTCCAAATATTTGAACTCCCAGGAGCAGGTAGGCCACCGTTCATATATCAATTGACAGTAGCGTTTTTGTAGCAAGAGAAACTGGACCGTACAGTGAAATCTTTGATCCATTTAAGCAAAAGAACCACAAAGGACACATGCTAAGAGCACGATACCCCTCACCTCCACCCCAAAATGGACCTCAGGCCTGAAAATAAGTGCCTCCAAAGGGAGACCTGGTTTACTTTGCCCCTAGAGTCCACCGACTCATCCACTGTACCTCTAGAACAAAGATGAAGGTGAAAACAACGGACATCGTTGCCAAAGGGACAGTCACAGGGTCCTCGACATCCCACTGTAACAGAAACAGCACACACGTCTGCCAGCACCCAAGGCTACCCAATGGCCCTTCCCCCACCCCGCCCAGCTTCACAGGACCACCGGCCTTAGTTTTCATACTCAAGAACAGAGACTGCAAATGGATGCAGCAGCTTGCGATATTCTTAGATGTCCCAAAGAATGCAAAATGCACTCCCAGAGCCTCAGGTGAAATGAAGTACCTTGACCGAGAGCAACACCGACTGGGCCAAAACAAGCAATGCAATTGTCCTCTTGAAAAATGGATGCTGGGTTATGTCATACATTTTAGCTCTGAAGCCATCATTATCTGGAAAAGAAAGGTTTAGGCAAGGGCATCTTAGACATGGGTCACATTTACTTTCTTGTCTTTCATTTTCTTTAATGCTCATCTTAAAACCCATTACATCTTTTCCCCCACAGTTCAATCTATTGTGAAGTGTTTTGCACCAAAGACTGGCTCTGAATATTTAAAACGACAGTGCGTGACACCAGCCACATTGCAGGGAGAAGTGCTTCGTTCAATTTCTGTCAGCCTAATACATTTCACTCATATTTTTTAAAAGGCAAGCACAAATACATTTTATTTAAGAATTCATTTTTTCATTAAGGCTTATTCTAAGAGCACTGAAGCACAGCCTTTGGGTGGTTGATTTTAATAGCCTGGTGGAGAGCTCTGTAGTTTGGAGCCTGTTTCTGTATTAACTTATGCACAGTCTCCCAGTGGCCTCACAATTATTATTTTAATTTAAATCTGAGACTCCTGGGGACTCATGAACACCAGTGCCCAACAAGAATAAAATCAGAGCGTCTTTGATACCCGGGCGAGGTGGGAGATGAAGGGGCTGAGCGATCTTCAGTCTGCTCTTGAGGTCTTCCCATCGTCTCTGATCCACGGTCAGCAAAGCCGTCCCCTGGACAAACAAAGGACAGCAGGCAAAGGAAAAGGAAGAGAACATAGCAGACGGGGTGGTGATACAAACAGGACCGACATGGGAGCTTACAAGAAAGATGTTCTTCAAATACCAAGAATGTGACAGAAACAGTCAGATTTCGCAAAGCCCATCTTAAGAGAGTTCCCCAAAATGATGACTGTGTTTCAGAAAGCGTTAAGCAGCCTCCAGTTTGTATCTTGGAAGATGTGTGACACTCTACAGCGTTACCCTTTGAAGAGGGGAGTTCAACTAACAGTGCTTTTGTTTCCTGTCACAGAAGCAAAATTATCACTTGTGGATAGGTATTTTGTACGTTCTCATATGTACAATCACAAAGCTGATTTTAATAGGTGTGAAGTCATAGGATTTAAGTCTTTAGGAAATCAGTGCTGTGATAGCTGGATAAAAATGGGATGGGAATATTCTGTTGGACACAATAGATTACATAATTAAAATGCACATAAATCATGTATTATACTGTATTATATTTTATTATAAATGCAGATGTATAATTCAAGAAACTGGAAAACAAATCTTACCCTCGTGCTCACTCTCCCCTTCCTTTCCCTGGGCTCACAGCTGTTCTGAGGGGGTGTATCCCCTTACTAGGTTTCCAGCCTTTGTACTTAGGTATGGACAAATACATCAGAATGCATTGGCTTTGAATTTGTATAATTTATATAAGTGGCATCCAGCATGTGTTTATCGATACCGTTCATCTTTATCTTCATTGAATGGTGTTTTCCACACATCTGGATGACTGAATCTAATCTGTTAATTACTCATGTTGTAGTCTACTGTACAAATGTATTGGAAGCCACTCATTTTGGATTTATGGACTATACACCATGCAGCTATTGACTGTCTTGAGTGTCTCTATTGTAAAGCTCTAGGAAAAGGACTGCTGGACTTTAAGAGACTTTAAATTCATCAGATATGGCATATTGCTATCCTCAAAAAGAAGTAACCAAAACAATTTCTCCCTAGCAATATACAAGTAATCCCATTTCCTTATATTCTGACAATATCATACTTTTAATTTATCCTTTAAGGTGGATATGAAATGTTTCCAAATAAGTTTTAATATTAAAGAGATGAGGCTTTTTTATTGAGTGGATAAATGGTGATTCTAGTCTTTCTACATGAATTGCCAATTCATATTCTTTGCTCATTTTTGTATTTTGATATTTACTCTAATGTTCTATAGAAATTATTTAGAATTGTCAGTTATGTGACTTGTAAATACAGTATATTCTCTTAGTTATATTTTTATTTTATTTAGGGTGATTTTTATCATTTAGAAATTAATTTTTTAGTTTTTCCCTTTACAGATCTTAGTGGATAATATCAACATATACAGAACTATTCCAGGGTAAAAAAATAAATGCTTACATAATTTTAAAATGGTTTAAATTTTGCTTATCATATCTAGGTTTGAGTTCTCTGCATTCAATTTTGAGCATGCTGGTGGGAGGTTTGGGGGTTCAGTTTAGCTTTCTGTGTCCTGAGAGTGAGTGCTCCTGACATCTCCTACTCTTTGTCTCATTTGTCTCCACTGACTTAGGTCTACTTCTGTTTTGTACATAGGCAAGTCCCTCTTGGGGCTGTCTACGATATGTCTAATTTTCTATCGTCCCAATACTGATGCTATTTTAATTACTATAGCTTGTTTTATCTCCTTTTCCACTATTATTATTACCCTATCAATTTGACTTTTTTTTTTTTTTTTTTGACAGGCAGAGTGGACAGTGAGAGAGAGACAGAGAGAAAGGTCTTCCTTTTGCAGTTGGTTCACCCTCCAATGGCCGCCGCGGCTGGCGCGCTGCGACCGGCCGCGCTGATCCGAAGGCAGGAGCCAGGTGCTTCTCCTGGTCTCCCATGGGGTGCAGGGCCCAAGCACTTGGGCCATCCTCCACTGCACTCCCGGGCCACAGCAGAGAGCTGGCCTGGAAGAGGGGCAACCGGGACAGAATCCGGCGCCCCGACGGGGACTAGAACCCGGTGTGCCGGCGCCGCAAGGCGGAGGATTAGCCTAGTGAGCCGCAGCGCTGGCCTCAATTTGACTTTCTTAAAGGACAGTTACAGCTTTTGTTACTCTTGGACATTATGAATATTCTTCATTGTCTGTACCATTAATTTTCATCCTAATCTTTGTGACTTTCTTCTATCTCCTCCTTTCTTCATTTTTACTTTGCTATCCTTAGTATACCTTATTGAGATAGTTCACATATTAACATTTAACCTTTGATTTTTCTCTAATTTATACACTTAAAGTGATAAATTTCTCTCTAGCTACTGATTTATCTATACCTTGAGAATGTTTATGTGATATTTTAAAGATTTACCTCTAAATGTTTTATGGTTTTCTATTAATTCTTCTTTAAGTTGCAAATAAGTTTGAATGATATCTTTTTTAAAAAATTATTATTTTTTATTTGAAAGACAGTTACAGAGAGATGTACAGCCAGAGTGAGTGTGAGAGTGAGAGAGAGAGGTCTTCCATTTGCTGGTTTTACTCAACAAATGGCTGCAATGGCCAGAGCTGAACTGATCCGAAGCCAAGAGCCAGGAGCTTCTTCTGGGTCTCCCATGCAGGTGCAGGGGCCCAAGGACTTGGTCCATCTTCTACTGCTATCCCAGGCCATAGCAGAGAGTAGATCAGAAGTGGAGCAGCCAGGACTCGAACTGGTGCTCATATGGGATGCAGGTGCTGCAGGCCAGGGCTTTACCCTGCTGTGCCACAGTGCCAGCCTCAGAATGTTGTCTTAATATTTCCAAGTTATGAGGTATTTGGGAATCTTTTATGATACTAAGAGAATATACTCTGTACATTATCAGTTCTTGGGTAATTATTGTTTTATTGCCTTTTGGAGAATACATTTTTTACTTGAAAATAATATATATTTCTAAATTGTGGGGAACAGGGTTCTTTTTATGTCCATTAGATCTCATTTTTATTGTTTCAAGTGTATTGATGTGAAATTAAGTGTATTACTCAAACATAAGGTCTCACTGTAGGGAAATCAGAAAAGAAAAACCAAATTACTGATACTCATTTGGAGCTTTGTGAAAAGGCTTCCATTTCTGAGGAAGACCTATTTTTGGACAACTCTGAATCCTAAAAGCATTACCCCCACAGTTTTCCTTACTCCGCATCTGTATCTCTATTCCTCCATATCGAGAACTCATTTTTTTATCCTTGGGTACAGCCATTAAGACAGGTACTCCCAGAGGGCACACATCTCTGTGTGTTTAGTGTGTAGTTTAGTCTGTTATGTCCTTAATGCAAGGACCAGTGTCTCCCACCTGGCAGGTGCTCAGTCAGCCTGTTGAATGATTGAATAACAAATAAATGCTCTTATCTAGCAACTTCTTCTCATTTCCCCCTTTCTCCCAGCTTCTGTTTAGCAGACCGACCACGCACTGCAAACAGTCCCTCGCTTCCTGCCTCCTTCAGAACAAGCAGCGATGGAAGTGGACCTCCCTGACGCTCTGCGGACCCAGCCAGAACTCTAAGTTCACTGTGCCCTCTTCCAGTTACTGACCACTTCATGTTGCTGCGTTATGTTGCTGAGCTGTAGGCAGCCACAGGACCCCAGTCCCCTGACATGTGTGCCTGCCACAGCGCCTCGGATGGACTCTAAGCAAGCGGTGCCCAACACTCCTGTTAACTGGCTGATTCACCTCTGCTCTCGGCCTGGAATTCCCAGTGTCTACTCCATGTGGCAAGGCTCAAAGGCATGTAGAAAGACCCATATTCCTCTTTCTGCTTGGTATTAGACTGAACACACTGTGGGACTCAAAAAAAATCTCATTGTGTAAGAGTATTAGGAAGTAAAATAGAGGGGCTGGGTGACACCCTCACTACTGTGCTTCTGCATTTCTGTGGGCAGGAGTGGCATTGTGCCCAAAGAGGGTTTTGTGAACTGCACCCTCTGGAAGCCTGAATGAAATGACATACTCATTAGGCACACATCAAAGGTGGCCATTGACTACTGAGTAAGTGGTACCACACACGTAGAGTCCCATGTGTGGCCACACAAACCAGAGGTCTCTGGTGTATGCATGGGAATCAGGCCTTGCCATGAATGACGTGAAACAGCGCAGAGCTTTGCGGGCCAATCTAGCTTTAATTCAGTGCAGAGCAATAGTCGACATCTTTCTACGCTCGCCTTGGGGAAGTCACAGACCCTGCACACTATGCACTGATTCTGAATTCTGACGCCAGTTTTTACTCCTTAAAAGGTTGAGACACTGTGGCATACTAAGCTAGGCTTCTGCCTGCAGCACTGGCATCCCATATGAGTGCTGGTTTGAATCTCGGGTGCTCCTCTTGTGATGCAGCTCTCTGTTTATGGCCTGGGAAAGCAGTGGGAGATGGCCCAGGTACTTGGGCCCCTGTGCCCACGTGGGAGACCTGGGGGAAACTCCTGGCTCCTGGTTTTGGATCTGCTCAGCTCTGGCCCTTGTGGCCATTTGGGGAGTGAACCAGTAGATGGAAGAAGATCTTCTGTCTCTTCCTTTCTCTGTCTGTAACTCTGCCTCTCAAATAAATAAATAGATCTTAAAAAAAAAAAAAAAGCTTGAGAGATGTGATTGCTGCTTTTCCAACCATGCATTTCAGAGTTGTGAGAACTGATAGTAGCATATGTCAAATCTTAATCCATAGTAAGTGCTCAAAAGTTGTTTGCATTTCAGTGATTATAACTCTAAAAGACTGAGTCTTGTACAACAGATGCCACATCAGCTGTGCCCAGAAACACAAGCACCTCTCCAAAGAGTGCTAACAGAATGTTCTTCCCTGAACTCACGTTTTCACAGGACACTCCATTGCTGTTTTCCCATTCGTGAGCCCTTGCGTTGATGACAGCTGTTATGGACTCTGTGCTTCCTGAGTTCAGGAAGTTTGTAAACTTTACATGAAATTAGAAACTCTTTTTATGCTTTGAATTAGGATTTTAAAATTGTACTGTCCCCTGCACCCCATCAAAATTCTGAGTTCACCCACTGAGTTACAAAGAAGCGTATAATTTACATTTTGTGACAGTGATATTACCTGCAATCAGTGAATCCCTTTCATCTACTGTACTTTAATAACTTGCTTCGCATCCTTTCAATCTGAACAATGGGGGATGCGCTTCTCAGTTGTGGGTGAATTAATGACACTGTTACCAAAAGCGTAAATTTAGCAAGAGAATTGTACTCTTAAATCATATGCCTGAAAGGCAGCAAGGAGGTAGCTTGTAAAATAGTCCCGGAGATTATTTACATCAGTCACCTTAGAGTTTAATGTGACTTCATGCCGTGTGTGGGGAAAAAAAGAGCTCAGAGAGAGAGGCTAGAGAAGAAGAAACCCGGTGGTGTTCAGATGGAGAATTCTTACCTTGTTTTCATTGAAATTAGCAATAACAACTCCAACAAAAAGGGTCAGTCCAATCATACAACCCAGGAATACAAAAACATGAATATAGATTCCATGGATCTGCATAAATGAGAACGAGGGTTATTCATCAAAGCCAAGGAAAGCTGCTCTTGAAGCATTCAAAAGATTCCATGCACTTGCTTACCGGCCCCACACGATGAATAATAACATCCCTCACTTCCACCCAGCCTTTCAAGGAGAGAACTTCAAACAATGCCAGCATCGCATTGCCCACGTTGTCAAAATTAAAGTTCCGAGGATTCGCCCTGCAATTCAGAAAGAGGAATGTCCTGTGAAATGCCAATGAGATGCACCCTAAGGCAAATATCTCCAGCTCTTTCCAACCCTGGGTACTGGGGGGTGGGGGTAGGAACAGTCTGTGTGTGGGAAGGGGGGCTATACAGAATCTGTATGTGGAAATCACAAGGATGCAGTAATGTGTTACAATTTATTAATTATGTTCCTTAGGTAACCATGGGGTGTTCTCCCTTTACAACTCCATTTAAAATGCTAAGCAACTCTAGTTTTAGCTCCAGAACCTCTGCCCGTTTCCACCCTGTTCTGATGACATGGAGGATGGGAAAGATGATTTCAGAGGTTTGTACAAAGGAGCACTGGATTTTGGATGTGACTTTGGAAATAGTTTTATAATTGCAAACCCTAAAGGCATAAATTGTAATTTCCTGCCTTCGTGTAGAAAATGCAAAAAGAGTAGAATTTGGCCATTTTGTGTCATCACTGTGAACTTGATCCTATACGTTAGTGATGTATTTGGAGGTCACTGAGATAGTAAGAAGTGTTTGCTGAGGCTGTGTGTGTCCCAATCATTCTCTCCCAGTGAGTTTTTTCTCTAACTCCAAGTGTTCTCAACAGAGCCTCCCTATGGTCCCCACAGCTGACTCTCGAAATATCTTGGTGCTACTATTAACTATGGGGATGTCTCCTTTCTGGTTTCCCTGGAAGGTTTCGACTTTTTCTTCCCGTCTACAAAAGTGATCCTTTCTACTCTGTTGCCTCTTCTTTCAACATTACAGTGTTAGTCAACATTTGTGTTGTTAAGAAAAGAGACTTCCAGTGTTTCCCTCCCTTTCTTCATTATTAGAGGATATTTTCAACAATTAAAAGGTTTCTAGAACTGCACACTGAAAAAATTATACTATAATACTATATCTATTCCCTGAATCTAATGAACAATTGGTGCCTATCAAAATTCTATGTTAATCATTTCCTGCTGCTGTCTCATTGATCAAAATTTAACTCATGAAAAGCAACATTCAGAAAGAGCTGGAGGAGGATTCTGAGTTAGTATTTTTCTATCATCTTTTATGCTTTTTAAACTAGAGAGACAATCATGAGATGTACTGTTGTAGGAATTTCTTTAATACTAAATGGATAGAGATCTAATAAGAGAAAAAACACAAAACTAAAACATCTAAGGGTTTAAGGCTGATTGGTGGAGATATTTTCTATATTGTACATCAGCCCCACTCAGAAATTCACATTTTGGAATCCTGATTAATATTTCTATATGAAGGTCCAAATATATATTCTTTTAGATTTTGTCAGCAACCTGTCCCTTGAGGGATTTCAATGAAGTCTCATATATTTTACAGAAGATAGAAATTTCAAGATTTGACAGTTGCCACAATTTGCTTGAATATGGAGTTTTTAAGCCAAGTGAGGCATTTTTCAGCTCTGATGTTGAACTTCCTCACTCATCCATTTTCATTATGTAAAAGTGCTTTTTTAGCTGCATTTGTAGCAACATAAACTACTTCCACGCACCTTGTTCCTTAGAAGTTAGAATGACTTGCAAATACACTTTAAGGCTAAACCAAGAAAAACAAAAATGTAGTCTCATAGAGCTAAATAGTTGAAAATATATATCACATATGTATTTTTAAAAAGTGCTTTTCTTAGCTTTAATAATATATGATGGTTATTTATGTTTTGCTCACGCTAGCAAAAAGTTAGAGACCTTATCAGTAATAACGGATGACTTCAATAAATCTCAAACATACTCCACGTTGTCACTTTACATAGCACACTTCCTTGAACTGAGAGGCAAGGTTATTTAAGTGCCACCTTTTCTGGAGGCATAGGGGCCTATTTGTGTTCTACCACATTTATGAAATTATGTTATTTCATTTTTTATTTTCCTAGACATCGAGCTCCAAGATGGGCAGGGGCCATAGCGTAACCAAGCTGTGTCACAGTGACAGCATAATTCCTGCTGCCTGCCAAGCACTCCACACATGTTTTGAAACTGAACATTGTACTCTGTTGAATTTTGTGTCAGACAGGCTATTTTCCTATATCCCAGACCTCTGCTTGAAATGCAACACCAATATTCACAATATATGATATGTTTAATCATTTTACAGAGTGCTTTTTATCTCATCAAGTCTGAGTGATTCAGAAGAAAATGAATGTATTCATCTCAAGATAGAATATAGAAACTAGACGTCTCCTGAATTAGATAGTACATATTTATTTTCTAATTATAATTACCAAAGCATTCCTCTAGGCACATTCCCAGATATAAACTGTGTTCTTCATTATAATTTAGCCAATATAAAATTACAAAGTTATTTTGCCTGATTAGCTTATTAAAGAAGGAAAATGTAAACACAGTTATTGTTACAATTGACATTTACTAGACTAAAGATTTTTGTTTCATTACAACTAATCCAGGTCACAACTTCCTGGACAAATGGATGGAAGCAATGTTCCATGGATACTCACGGTTTTAAAATTTCATTAACCTTGAAATCCCCAGTGAGATCTCCCATAAAATAACCCATTTAAATTAACTTTGATTTAAAAATTATATTTCGCTGGCTTTGGTACACCACAGGGTGGGTATGCTCTTCTCTGAACATTGCCTTGCAACGTGTTCCAGCTTCTCCCAGACATCTTGGGGGTGGACCTGAGGCTCTTTTCAGACTCAAGGTGAATCTCAGTTTAAAAGTCAACTCCAGGTGCTTCTCCTGGTCTCCCATGGGGTGCAGGGCCCAAGGACTTGGGCCATCCTCCACTGCACTCCCGGGCCACAGCAGAGAGCTGGCCTGGAAGAGGGGCAACCAGGACAGAATCCGGTGCCCCGACCGGGACTAGAACCCTGTGTGCCGGCGCTGCAAGGATTAGCCTATTGAGCCACGTTGATAAGCACCTGGCTCCTGCCTTCGGATCAGCGTGGTGCGCCGGCTGCAGCGCACCGGCAGCAGCTGCCATTGGAGGGTGAACCAACGGCAAAGGAAGACCTTTCTCTCTGTCTCTCTCTCACACTATCCACTCTGTCAAAAAAAAAAAAAAAAAGTCAACTCCATTTGTCATCACATCTGTGGTCTCATAACCTGTACAAGAACCCTCTGCAGCCACTCAGGCCTGACCCGTGGGCTGAGGGGAGGAAGAGTGCTGGCCATGCTCTCTGATCCACTCCTCCTCTCCAGGCCATAATTACCTGACTAGGGTGGGAAGGAGTGGAGTTGAAGACATGGGGTGGAAGCACTGTGTACCTGATGCTACAGGACTGTGGCCACGGATCCTCTCATCATGGCGGACGTCACTCTCTCATGCAGTGAACTTGTGTGCTCCTAAGAAACACTCCCTGTCTTTACCATGTTTCTAGCTCCTGTAACATCCGTCCCACATGCACTTTTTTTTTTTTTTGACAGGCAGAGTGGACAGTGAGAGAGAGAGAGAGAAAGGTCTTCCTTTATCGTTGGTTCACCCCTCAATGGCCGCTGTGGCTGGCGCACCGCGCTGATCTGAAGCCAGGAGCCAGGTGCTTCTCCTGGTCTCCCATGTGGGTGCAGGGCCCAAGGACTTGGACCATCCTCCACTGCACTCCCGGGCCACAGCAGAGAGCTGGACAGGAAGAGGAGCAACTAGGACAGAATCCGGTGCCCTGACTGGGACTAGAACCCAGTGTGCCAGCGGCGCAGGTGGAGGATTAGCCTATTGAGCCACCTTGTTCTGGACTGTCACCTTGCCTCAACCTCCTGCCTTGCTGATCAACTGCTCCCCATCCCTGGCAGGAGACTCCCTCCTGGAGGTGTGCTTTCAAATACCAACTAACCCACGCAGAGTGCACAGCCCCAAACACCTGCTTTGTGAGGCTTTCGCATGACAAGTCACTCTACACCTGCCCTAACCACACCATGACCAAGTACCAGCCAATGAGGGCAGCTCCTGTGCCCCTGAGCCTGCTGGAAACTGTTCAAGCTGCCCAACCCCAAGCCCACTTGGCCTGACTCCCTCCCTGTTCCTGCCCCCAGGAAACCATAATACAGATTTCACCACAGTTCTCTGCCTCTGCCTGTCTGGTGACCAACCTTGGTCTTCCCTGTGGGGGCCTTCATAGTGTGGTGTGACCCCTCCTGTTGGGAAGAGTGAGGAACCACCTTTTTGACGGCAGTTGTCACCCGGTCTGTTGGCCTTCCTCTAGCTCAGATTTTCTATCAATTCCAGAACCCTCCTCAGCATGGAGTGCTCCACTGTGTCATTCCCATGATGAGCGTGCTGTCTCCAGGTAACTGTCCCCTGCACACAACCCTTGGCCAGGCAGGTGGCCCTAGGCGATGACTGTGTCACTCTCCTGGGATGCCAGATAACCTTGTCCTGCATATGGTGAAGAGCAAGGTGGCCTGTTCTTGTCTTGCCAATATCTGACCAGAAATGACCCTCCTGGAGCAGGAAGCATCCTCAACCATGGCACTCCCTATGCCCGACTTCAGTTACTTCCAGGACCCTATCTTTAAATGTAGTGCTTTCTTGTATAAACCAGAACTGGGTGATAGAGGCAGATAATCTTGTACTAAGTCCTTCTGGGACTGCTCTAGTTGCTTTCTTTGGAATGTAAAGATACTCTATCCGCTAGTGACCTCGCTTTGTGGCTTTATCCAAGGTTCCAAAACATCAGAAAAATTCTGCTTGATGCCCTGACATAATTATTTATGATATAACGTAGTTTCATTTGACAAAAATACACTTTAATTCTTCTTTACTGTTTTACTTTAATGGAAATCAGACTGCTTTTCCAGCTGGCATGAGAAAGATGGCATCCCCATATATTGTATTTCTTCACCCACAGATCCAAAATTCATCTTGTTTTATAGTTCTCAGGCATTGTAAAATAGTAAAATCTCAATACAAAGCATAGCCACTTTTTATAAAAGTAAACTTCGTATTAAAGAAGTGCCAAGACAAGGTAATAAATAGTGAGTCGTACAGTTTGGTGGGTGAAATGCTATTCCTGTGAAAGAGTTTGGACATGGAGAAGAAACCATGAATTGTGACAAAAGCAGAGGCACTGGCGTTCATGTCTTATTCCAAGAGCCAAAAAGAAATTTTAAAAATAGATAACAATAAGGATATAAATGAAGTTGATGGAACACTCAGTTCATCAACGAAGCACACTGGGAGATTCTGTTCATAGTCACTAACAAAAATAGGGGAGAAAGAAGGTCCTAGGTACTTTTGGCTTTGACAGAAATGCTTGTGGAACATCAGGAAAAAATGAATTTTTAAGACAGAATTAGATATTAACAACTGTGTTACTGATTATTCCTTTCCAGAATTCCAATCATGGAGAGCTTTCCATGTGAGTAGGCTTTAAAATTGAAATTATTTTATGATTTTAGGTTCTGTATGACTGTTACAAATGAGATTCACCCTTAATAGTACAAACTCAGGATGAGTTTGGTTTTGATTAAGCAGAAAATCATTTTTTTTTAAAAAAATAACCTCACTTTTAAAAGTAATTTGAATTCACATATATACTTTAAAAGTGCTAGACAAATACTGAGGTACTATTTAACAGGTTTATGAGGCTTGTTGATGTTATTTTTGTATCCTATTGTAGACCAGTGCTTTGCCCTGTATTACTTAAAATCAGTTTTTTTATTTGACAGATAGAGTTAGACAGTGAGAGAGAGAGACAGAGAGAAAGGTCTTCCTTCCGTTGGTTAACCCCCCAATGGCCACTATGGCCAGAGCTACGCCCATCCGAAGCCAGGAGCCGGGTGCCTCCTCCTGGTCTCCCATGCGGGTGCAGGGGCCCAAGCACCTGGGCCTTCCTCCACTGTACTCCTGGGCCACAGCAGAGAGCTGGACTGGAAGAGGAGCATCCGGAATTAGAACCCGGCGCCCATATGGGATGCCAGTGCCACAGATGGAGGATTAACCAAGTGAGCCATGGCTCTGGCCCCTTAAAATCATTTTAATATCTCTAGCAGAATTCCTTTCCATGTTATCCTGATTTTCAAACTTATACTGACAACTATAACGTTCTTCAGGAATTTTCTTTGGATATGCTTACCAGACACGGGGTACCCAGAAACCAGGCTTTTTCTCTCCAGGTCTTAATTTTAAATTTAAATTCTTGGAAACACTGACATTGATTCTGAATATACCATTGCAATCTTCCTAAAGGAGGGGGGGGGAAAGAAAATGAGAAAATGAACTCAGAAAAGATAAAAGCTAGAGACAGTTCTTACATGGAATAGCAAAGGCTCTTTAATGAACAGTAGAGACGAGAACACCTACCCAGCAAGTGGCGACAAAGACTGAACATTGGCAGTAAAAGCTGATGCTGAAAACATTAGCAGGTGGACCAAGGATCTGAATAGACGTTTCTCCAAAGGAGACTCTCAAATGGCCATATTAAATGGAAAATTCAAGAAATGAATAATTCTTAAGTTTGATGATGGTGTACAGTTATAATTGTTCTATTATTAGCTGTTGTTGTTGTCAATCTCTTACTGGGCATACATTATACATTAAGCCTTAGCATTGGTACACAGGTACAGGAGAAAACATTGTAGTAGGGACTGGTACTTTCTGTGGTCTCAAGCACTCATGTAACATCTCAGGATGTAGCTCCCATGGATAACAGGGCTACTGTAACAATAAGCAGTGGCAGGCATGCCAGGTAATCAGAATCATCACACTGGAACCTCATATGCTGGGGCAAGAATGTAGAATAGTACAGCCACTTTGGAAAATTGCCCAGCATTGCTTAAATGACTAAATAAGGGTCACCACATGACCCATCAATTCAGCTCACAGCTATCTACCCAAGAGAAAGTGCATGTGCACAGAAAGATGTACACAGATATTTACACCTGCACGATTCATAACAGCCAAAAGGTGGGAACAACTCACCTGTCGATTACGGGACAAACGGCAAAGCAAAAGTGGCACATTCACTCAATAGGATAAGATGCAGCTATCAAAAGGGATGAAGTATTGACATATGCTACAACACGAATGGCCCTTGAAAACATTACGCCAGACGAAAAAGCAGTCACAAAAGATTGTATGTTAGATGACTCCATTCATACAGGAGTCCAGTAATTTAAAACTTCACAGAGATAAAAAATAGATTATTGGTTGCTTAGGGGTAGAGGTAGGTGGGTGGGTGATAAAGGGATGAGGAAAGAAAAGAATTTCTTTCTCAGGTGATGGAAATGCTTAATGGTTACAGAATTCTAATTATGCTACTAAGCATGCGCCTGCGTGAAGGCAGTGAGTTCTTCAGTATGTGAGTTGTCTCTAGAACAAAGCTGTCAAAAATGTTTTAAAAATGAAATATGACTGTGAGGTTTTTGACTCATTTCCTGCTTTCCTTTTGGTTATTGTTAACTTGAGTTCTTTGGCAATGATTATCATTTTTTCAATCTAACTCCATTCAGGGTTTCTTGATAGCCATCTGGATGTCTTAACTGCAATTCAATTTTATCCCTAAAATATGTCTCCTCCTGGCTTCCTCACTTCTGGCCATGGACCTATAGGCTGCCAGCACCCAGCATCTGCACCTCAGAGAAGTCTGGGCCTTCCCCACCCCCAGGGTCCATGTCTCCATTCTCATCCCAATGCCAACACCACCTGTTTCTGGGTTGTCAAGAAAATTCTTCAAAATAAAAATCTTCTAACACAAATAATATATCTTTAACTTATAAGGCATAAACAAAAGGCAAGAAATTTATAGTTACCCAGAAGCAAACATAATTAATAGTTTCACATATATTCTTATGCATACACAAGATCATACAGTTTTTGTCCTTCCATGGTTCATTTTTTTGTGTTGAAATATATTGCAATTATCTTTTCATAACCATACTTATTGATCTGTGGCACTATTCTCAAAGGTATCCCATGACATATTTGGCTTACTGCCAAGACAAAGCTGTCTTTCTGACCCCACCTTTGATGGGGTGAAGCAGCTTGGCATCCTGGTTAAATGCAGAGACTGTGGGACCAGGTTGCTTGGACAGGAATCCCAGCTTCCTCACTTACTAGGTGGGTGACCTTGGGTAAGAGTTGTAATCTTTCTGCACCTGTTTTCCTCATCAGTGAGTGGTTAAAAATTCCTAGAGACAGAGCCTTGCAGTTTGTGAGCATTAGTAAGTGCTGGATTCCTTTTAAGACAATCCATGGCTTCTCATTTCTCATCCAAGAAATCCCAAGACCCTGGTCTGGCATTCCAGGCTCCCAAGGGTCTCTCCCTATCCAACATCCCTGGTCTTGTTCAATTCTTCTCTACATAGGAGGTGACTGAGCTTGACACTGACTGCTGGAGATTGGGTTAAGAAGGCTATACCAGTGAGCTCATCGAGTCTTCATAGTGTCATTGTGTGGGACTTCTTTAGAGAAAGAGCTCCAGAGAGAGTAAGTGCCCAGACCAAGCCATCACAGCTACTAAAGTAGCATGCTGTCTGGGACACCCGGATTCCAAAGCCCATGTCCTTCCTCCTCTACTCTGCCTCCGCACCACGACTTTTGCATGCTCCGTGTCTGACTTCATGCTGCCTGCTTCCCTTGTGAGGTCCCCTCCTGTTCTCCTCCAGTCCTAGCTCCCCACCACAGGCTTCCCAGCGTGGTACTTGCAGTTAGAAACCCGAGTTCCCATACAAAAATCAGATTGCACATTATTTCTGCTTCTTATGTGCTCTCTAACTGCAGACTATATTACAGCAACTTGAACATGAAACGTATGTTCTGACTAGACAGAGAATGTTGCAAACAGCCTTCTATAGGTTTGATTTTATTTCTCCCATCATGGTACCTTGGATAGAGCTGGTATTATGGAATAATGATTTGTCAGAGGCATCCTCAGAGCTACTTTACAGAGCTTTGGTGACTAAGCTCTGGACTCTGTATCCCTCTCTATATTGATCTCAAGACATCTGCTGTCAAGTTTTAAAACACAAGCAGAGGAGAAAGAGCAAAGGCAAACACCGAGACAATACGGCAGTCTCCCACCAGGACAGCTTGGCCCCCACAGCACGAGGCTCGTGGCATTTCAACACAGGCTGTCGGATCCCAACACTGGTGTAGCTGGTCTCCCCTGGACCCTGGGTTTTCTTCTTTTAGAAAGATGGCCTGAAGCTCAGGGCTACAACCGATGTCCTCTTCATTCACATGGCGTTCTTGGCCTCAGCCTCTTATTAATTGGGATCAGATAAGATGTAAACACTCAGATTACTGCTCTTTTTATAAATTTCTTCCCAACAATTTCTGCATGGTGCTGATTCTCTCTGCAAAGGCCAAGTCCCCTTCGGCTCTCCTTAGGAGCTTCCTGCAGATCCCACTGCTCCAGGAAAGAGAATAAATGCATCATATCTGTGAGTCTGCTCATCCACAGGGCGTTCTGTTCCCACGTGGGTCACCAGTCTTCAGCTTGGGCTGGGGATGAGCACATACTGTAAACTCATCATGCCCTTAGGCCACTATTAGTACACTGAGTTATCCAGGATTCATAGCAGGCTTCGTCGTGAAATGCTGTTATTATCTTTTTGGCTTCTATTCAGTGTGGATCTAAAATAACTCTTGTTTCCTTACACAAACTTGTGGACTGAAATGTCCTCTGTATCACTCTCTTCATTTGTTAATTTGGATCATCATGACCTTCATACCATGTTCCTTATTATGTCTTCTTAGGTTTCTGGAATGTCTCTTCCTACCTGGCACTTCCCGAAAAACTTCATATTAACATAATTTATAATGAATGTATTTTGACTAGACAAATGCTATCTGTATTCACATTTTATAATAATGGCTAATGTTTTCATAAGATCTATATTAGCCATTTTTACTAGAAATATGTAATATTGTAGTTCAGCTGTATTTATGCCCTCTGGAGACACACATTTTACTGAAATTAAGGCATTATTTTAATTGAATCGAAGAGAAAATACTTTTACTATTTTATATAATAGCAGTATTGGGTTTTCCTTATTAATCTACTTATAAAACAAGAAAGAAGCTTAAGGGAATAGGACTCTGGATCATTTAACAGAGACTGGCATGCTATTACCCTGACTGTGTGTTTTTTCTCCAATGTGCACCACTAAAGCACCCTTCCCAGCCTCCCTCTGTCCTGGAATGCTGAGTTCCGTCCCATGGAATGCAGGTTGATGTGAGGTGTGCCCCTTTTACGCAGAGCCCACAGCCCTCTGAGGTACCTGCTGGCTAAAGGGGGAAGACTCAAGACACAGCACAGGGTGGGGGGAGAAGACAGACAAATCTGAGACCCTGAGCAGTGGTGTGCAGGAGAGCTGTGCAATCCAGACACCACAGTCTGCCAAGCTACTGCCATCATGGGGCTGCTACAGCAGCTGACCTCCTCTGCACAGCACTGACTGAAGAGCAAAGAACCGGAAAGGCTGTGGTGAAAGTGTTCCAGCTTGGTCTCTGTGGGGGTTTCTGTGGTTTTCATAAAGGGGAAGCCGCTGGGCAGGTAAGCGCGCACATGGAGGGGTCGGCTGCCTCAGGGGAGAAGTTGAGCCTACAGATGTAAGGGGAAGGGGATGTGGGAATCAGACTCCCCCCTTGTATCTTTTTCACCTGGGCTGCTTGCTACTGTGTCTCTTGTAAGGGCTGCTTGCTGGTGTGAGTCTTGCATCTTTTTGCACGGGCTGCTTGCTCAGATGAGTCTTTGGCTGATGGGAGGGATGGTCAAGGTAGGGAAGAACTGAAAGGAAAGTGTCCAGGGCTCACAGCTATAAACATCTGCAATCTTGGGTGACTACGCCTGATCTCTCCACCACAGATGAGCCTGAAATTGGAGACAAGAGGAGGAGTCCCTGAGGGGCATTGCAACCTGACAAACCTGTACAGGCCAGAAGAGGCGCAGTGTATGTTCTCAGTAAGGAGTCTGTGGGAAGAGAATTTTCAGTCTGGTCAAAGAATCCTCAGCCTTGGTTACCACTGGCCCCACCTGCTCCCTAAGGGATGGAAGCCACTGCAATTTTCACTTGAAAAGATTGAAAGGGGCACCATACCCTTCGGATGATGTTGGGATCATTGCACTTGGCCAGTTTTCCAGCAAAAAGCTGAACTCCAAAGCTTGCAAAGACAAGCATTAATGTCAGCAAGAGAATGGAGACCTGGAAGAAATTGTTGAGTTAGTAAATCTCTCATTTCACACTGAACATCAGATTTGGCTTATTCAGTATATAGACAGGGGCTTTCCAGATAACACTGTGCAGAATTTGCTGGGCTTGATAGTATCTTTTAAATTCCCCACCCTAGGTCTTTCAGTTAGCCTCACTGAAATGCCAGTAGGAGGAAATTAACAAAAGCCTTTGAATTTTTAAAATGAAAACTTAATGACTTTCATATAAGAAAACAAGACGCAGTATTTTTTAAATATAATTTGGGAGTATCTGACTTTAAAATCAACACTCTGCTCTATTGCAGTCCATGGAACAATGGAAAATGCTTACTAACTGTATTCTGCCCATTTGCCCAAAATGGATGCATATCGTCATTAGCAGAGGAGACATTACAGCAACAGTGGCTTTGCCTTCTAGTGTGTTAGAGCATGTATTATGTACGCACAGAGGATGTCATTAATTCAGTCCTGAAAAGCCAGTGTGTTAATTAACTTGTGCTCCCTCTGCTGGCTGACGACTTTGACTTGCAGAGAAAAGGGGCAATGACAGAACAAGCTACGGAACAGCACCGCGGAAGAATTGAAACAGCTGATTTAGCCATACTAAAATTACAGAGAAAGGCACAGATTCTCTTCTAAAATCTGTGATCAAAAGGTTCATCTAGATCAACGCCCAGGTGACATTTTGTTTTCCCTCAATTCCAGCTGTGTGAAAAGTCACAGTGTTACAGATGTGGGCAACAAGAGACCAAATAAGGACTTTTTAAACACATCTTTAAAAAAATATTAGGCACAAAAATTGTAATATTGCAGTATCTTTAAAATACCCCTGGGTCAACTACAGCTATAGCATTGTCTCACCAGGGGTGTTTGTAGAAAGCAAAACACAAAACAAGCTTATGTAAATTAGTTCATGCTTTTCATGCACAAGAATTCATCACTAATAAAAGGAATGCTTTGATCACTGTTTTGTAAGGCAATGATCCCTCTCTAACAGATTGTGAGCAGTGAGACTCTTATTCATTCTTTTATCTCCAGCCCTGTTCTTAGAAGGTCCTAAATCAATGTTTGCCCAACTTAAAAGAATCTTTTCTTTTCAATCATATCTTTAACTATTCATTATTGTATAATGAAGTCACTTAAAGTAGGGTATACCTATGTGTCCCAGTTGAAATGTGTTTTATTTGACTACTCCCAAGATCCAGACACAAATTCTAAGTTGTATGCTTTAGGGGACATACAGAATGTGAGCCCCAATGCATCAATTCACAATCACATTTATGAAGTACACGGTGTTGAGTCGTCTTATCCTTAATTTCCAAATGGGAAGCTAAAATGTAGAGTGGAAATTAGGATAAAGAGGAAAGAATGATTTAGCAGTGAATCTTCTTTGGATTCTCTGTTTATGTATTTCCCAGAGTTTCACTTCAGTTCTCTAAAAATATTCATTGAATTAAATGAGCTAATAAGATAGAAACTTTCATGGGTGAAATTTTAAAGTGTGCATTGTTTTCAGCTGGTGCCATAAGCAAAGTTACAGACTTGACCTTGAGAAACAAGACTCTACCCCCTCATTAGCACCACAGCAGAGATGGACTAAGGAAAACTGGAAGCAAACAGTAACTGTAACGTACCAAAAAAATTTCCTTGAAGCCGCTGAAAAGTTCTCGAACAACTTTCCTCATCTGGGGCACCAATTTGAATATCCGAAGAGGTCTCAGGCACCGAAGAACCATTAGGAGCTGAGCTCCAGATTCAGCCGGCACATTTTGAGGCATCCAACAAAGAAATATCAGGCTCACCTAGAGGAGGAAAGAAATCTCTCTGGAGCTTATACAATTTACCCTGGACTAGCTACATTTGCTGAAATCACCTGGCCACACCTGTCCATTTGGCAGAGATGCCACGTGTTACGTGGGACGACTCACGACTGTGTACTGAGTCTGTTAACTCTAATGAATGTACCTAATCCTGACCTGTTGGAAGCCTCAAAGGGAGGTTAACGCATGTGCACAGGAATGAAATGGGGGAGCCCTGTGTGTCTTGTGTCTCCACTTTTCTGTCCCTTCTCTTGAGCTCTGCCAAGGTCAATGACATTGGAATTCCTTCATCAAGATCATTATTATTTTATTAACGATCTGCCACATGGCACCTGGTAATGATCACACTTCTGTTTGTACCAGCAAAGCACACTAACTTCATCCCTTCTTGGACAATTACAAAAAGTAAAATTTCTTGGAGTCTACTTTTACAATTTTCCAACTGATTTGAACAGTTGAATGGGCACCTGCTACAGCCACATATTTTGCGCACTGGAATCAAGGCAGAGGTATAATGACAATTGCTTTCGTTTGCTTTTTAACAATAAGGGGCTCAATGATCAATAATATGGTTTATATGATACACATATTTTAAGTATAAAAGCCACAAAGAATTGTGTGGGGTAAATTTGCTATTTCAGACCTAATTAACCCTGTCTCATTCATACACAAAATTGCACTTGATCATTATAAACAAGAATGGATAGTTACAATGCTTTTTTTGTTAAGATATGACATGCATGTGCCTTATGTGCATATAATGACTACTATTCATAGTGTATTTAAGAACTCGCTTTGACATCAAAGCCTCTGGAACTCAAACACCTCACTCTTGTAGTAAGAGATACAGGAGATTTTACAAGACCATCACATTTTACATTTAGGAAATAACCAAAGACTTACTAGATATATAAATATGTCCATCACTCCTCCAAAGTCCCTGATGACAGCAGTTGGAGTGAAAAATAAGCCATCTGCCATAATCTTCAGATTAAGCTCAATGCTCATGAATATCACAAAGACGTACTCAGCAATCTGAAATGGGCAGAAGCACTTTGGTCACAATGACCGGGAAAATTGCAGGTCAGTGTTTTACCCGCTGGCTGAGAGCTGAGATGGGGCAGCAGTACCTGCAAAGTAGGTGCGTGCATGACTCTTCGAAAGGGGGATTCGAACATCATGGAAATGCAAGAGCAGATGGTTACGATGATCATGACCCAGTCCAGGTAGGTGACCAGTCCCAGCAAATCACTGCCAGAGAGTGAACACGACGGAGAAACAGAAATGCTGTAGGAAAGGCTGCTAACAGTCAGAGATGTTAGTGTCTGTGGCTTTCTGAACACCACTGCCATTTCTTTTAAATAAATTCCAGTCATCTAACTTCATAGCACTATACTTAGCAAGAAAACAAATGGGAATTTTGGTATTTTTATGCAGCACAAAATAGTACGTGAAAACTTCAAACGGGCATGGTGAGTGGGGTTTGTGAGACTTACTACAGTTGATGATACTTTGTATTCTTCACAGCTCCTGTGACAGGGTCCGTTTTAGATCTGTAAGAGGGAGAGGCAAATGAAATCCTGCAATGTAGCAAGAATGTTAGAGTGTGGCCAGGTCGTATAAACAAACATCACACCTACGTGCAATCTCTACATCCTCTACATAATGACTGCCATAGAATATGTCAACTGTGTGTGGTTTTGGAAGACAGAGAACATTAGAGGAAAGAAAAATAAAAAGAATTTGCAGTTGGTGCTTAGGAAAGTAAAGTTTTAGATTACTCGAAATACTTGGTTTTAGAATTCATGGCTCCATTCAAAATTTCTTACATGGGTATTACAAAATTAAATTTTGACTTTTACTTCAAAATATTCATTGAAAACTATGCCTTAGTAGTTCTAGGAAGCTCTTCATAATTCTTTAATTAAATTTTCCATAAATTAAATAGAGTCTATAATCTTTCAGCCTGCATTTAACTGTAGTCTCATGGAATGATTTAAGGTAAGTTTCTGGGTCGGGGGATTCATAACTTTGACTTTCAGGAAGTCTGTGAAGCATGATGGGTGAGGTCCCTGACAGGCTTTGTGTGTGTTTCTTTCATCATCCAATTCCCCCTCAGCTATGTAGCTGGCGAAAGAGAACCAAGTCACACAAAACAAAGAGGGAATATGTAACCAGAAGTTCACATGGAGGTAGCCAACAAGGTAATTCAATATGGAAAACCCATTTCAGAAGCCAATCAGGTCTATCCTGCTGTCTTCCTTTGTGAGAACACAGGGGAGTTTTTAACGATTACTTTTCAGGCATTTGAGATTGTGAAGGGCCTTCCTGAACAGCAGAGAGAATGGGACTGGTGGTCAGGACACAGCCACACACCTGCTGGGATTCTCCAGCAAACCCCTCCACATCCACAGAGCTAACTGTTTTATTCTTTTGAAGGAGGTTTGTAGAGATGATAGTCTGTGCTCTCTCCGACCCTCTCCAGGTCTGAAATGTCCTAAGAGTGTGTCTGAGCTTCCTAGAGCTCTGGAAAAAGGCACCACAGCCCGGGTTGCTTAAGCTCCAGAGGCTGGGCAGTCAAGGGTTGGATTATCCTGAGAACTGCCAGGGAAGGATTGCTGCAGGCTTGCCCAGCTGACTTGTGGTTGGCATCTCCCGACATGCTGCCGTGGTCTTCCTTCAGTTCGCATGTGTCCACACTTCCTCTTTTTTCCTTCCTTTCCTTTTCTTTTTTTGTATATTTACAGGCAGAGTGGACAGTGAGAGAGAGAGAGAGACAGAGAGAAAGGTCTTCCTTTTTGCCATTGGTTCACCCTCCAATGGCTGCCACGGCCGGCGCGCTATGGCCGGCGCCTCGCGCTGATCCGAAACCAGGAGCCAGGTGCTTCTCCTGGTCTCCCATGCAGGTGCAAGGCCCAAGGACCTGGGCCATGCCCCACTGCACTCCCGGGCCACAGCAGAGAGCTGGCCTGGAAGAGGGGCAACCGGAACAGAATCTGGCGCCCCACACACTTCCTCTTCTAATGCAGAAACCAGTCAGTTTGGATGTCCTCACTTTAATTCCATCACCTCTTTAAAGTTCCTGTCTCCAGATGTAGTTACATCCTGACTACTGGGGGTTAGGACTTCAACATATGGACTTTGGGAGGGAGCAACTCAGCTCATAACAGATAGTGATTATCATAGGCTACTGATTAAATTATTTTCTTTAAAAAAAGATTTATTTATTTGCAAGTCCGAGTTACAGAGACAGAGGGAGTGACACACAGAGATCTTCCATTCACTGGTTCACTTCCCAAGTGGCTGAAATGGCCAGGGCTGAGTCAGTTGGAAGCCAGGAGCGTTATCTGGGTCTCCCACGTGGATGGTAGGAGTCCCAAATACTTAGGCCATCTTCCAGGCTTTACCCAGGCCATCAGCAGGCAGCTGGATTGGAAGTAGAGCAGCTGGGACACAAACTGGCACCCATACTGGATGCCAGCATTGCAGGAGGCGGCTTTACCTGCTATGCCACAATGCTAGCTCCAACAATGGAGATCAAATTTTTACTTAACTGATGGCCAGCTACATAAAGAAATGTGGAGGGGCCGGCTCTGTGGCATAGTGGGTTGAGCTGCCACCTGCAGTGCCAACATCCCATATGGGCGCCGGTTCAAGACCTGGCTGCTCCACTTCTGATCCAGCTCTCTGCTATGGCCTGGGAAAGCAGTAGAGGATGGCCCAAGTCCTTAGGCCCCTGCACCCATGTGGGAGACCGAGAGGAAGCTGCTGGCTCCTGGCTTCGGATTGGCACAGCTCTGGCTGTTTTGGCCAACTGGGGAGTGAATCAGCAGATGGAAGACCCCTGTCTCTCTGTCCCTGCCTCTCCTTCTTTCTCTGTGCAACTCTAACTTTAAAATAAATAAATAAATAAATAAATCTTTTTTTAAAAAAGAAAGAAAAGTGGAGAGTTTTTGCACTTCCTCCAGAATTCTTAATGTCTTGAGGATACCTACTTAAAGTTGTTCTTGACCTACATTCACTTCATCCATTGGCTAGGGTCTCCAGAAAAGCAAATTTAGTTTATCTTTTGTATACCTCAGTACACAGAAGCAGTGGCCAGTGAGCTTTCTTCTCCTAACAGGTAGTAATAGAAGCACTAGTCAACTTACTTTCTACTTCACATTATTCTAGAATAAACCAATTGGGGGCATTTTGCTCGTGAAGAAACTACAAGTCTGATAGAAGACACAGACAGTGATCTTCACCTGTCATTTAGTCCCCCTTTGCTTATATATTTTCTGGATAAATACTGGAGTTAGTAACACTGATACACAAGCATTAGGCAACTGCAAAAAACGCACAAAGAAAGGCTGTTATGCACTGTAGCCACATGCGTTTCCTAGAAATGTTAACTACTTTCAACCTTCGCTTGCTTTCAGCCTGGTCAGGTGCTCGGCAGGCAAGGTGGAGCAGCGTGATTAATTAACCCAGGGTTTCCGCGTGACCCCATTAGGAGTACATGTTCCTCCCTCTTCCTGTGACGAACCCCCTGCTGTCTGCACGAGCGGGGCCAGAAACCTGGCTGGAATGAGAGTACTTACGCGTTGAAGCGAGCTCGGACCACCACGCGGCAGAAGTTTCTGAACCTGTGCTCCCGGCCGACAATGAACAGCGGCTTATCGAAGTACGGGTGGTTCTCCCTCAGTTCCTCCTCTTGCACTTTCCTGGAAGGGGAAGGGAAAGGAGAGGAAGGCTAAGGGGAAAGTCCTGCTCCCCAGGGTCTCCAGGGGACGCTGCCGTGCTTCTACCTTTTCATTTCTGCTTGCTCCTTCTTTTCCTGAATCATCTTTATCTCACTGTCTTCTCGCTGCGCGTTCCTGTATCTCACTGTATTGGAATGCTGGAAGGAAATGAAAAGGAGGCATATCACCATGACAGCTTTTTTGAAGGCCAGAAACAGTATCATTTAAAACATTGAGATCACTGACTTTATTTTCCATATACACCCATGTACAGTTTAATGGCCACAATCATCTTAGCAACCATATTTTTATTTAAGTTATTACAAGGGTACTTGAAATAGCTCATGGGAAAATGGAATTAAAAGTGAATCTTCTTTTGGTGCAAACATTTTGAAATCCATGCAGACTTTTCATAATGTGCATTTTCATTAACTTTTGCATGGATTTCACAATTCTTTTGCACCAAAATAAATTTATCACATAATTCTGTAATTTCACAAAGTTTTTGAAGTCTCCATGTATTTATTGAGCTCCTCTTATGTGCCAGGTGTTGGTGCTTTTCTGGTGCTGAGGATTTGGCAAGAGGTAGGGGGAAAAAAAAGACAAAATCCCTGTTCTTGTGGAGTTGATGCTCCAGTTAGGATTGGGGTTGGGGAGGGGGATGGATGAAAAGTCGGTCAGAATAAGCAAGTGTGTGAGGGTATGCATGGTGTTCTGATTAAAAACACAGCAGGAGAGAGGCAGACAACTGTGCTTCTAAATCCATGGGTCAGCATAGATCTCACGATGAAGTTTTCCAAAACTCAAAAGAGGTGAGGGTGCAGGCCACCCAACAGGTGTAGGAACCTGTTCTTTCAGAGGTGAGGTAGGCCTGAGGAGTAGCCATGATGCCAGTGTGCGCAGAGCTGAGAGAGCAAGGAACTGGGTGGCAAATGCAAGGCTGGCGGGTAGCGGGGGCAGGTCCTGCAGGGCCTGACCAGCTGGAGTTGCTGTTCCAACAACTCGACAAACTGAACAGAAAATATTTCTTGGACTTAATGATCTGTATCCTCTATCATTTGGAGTAATTGAGAAGACTGAAATTGTCTAATTTAAATGTGTCCTGTGATGTAAGAAGAGATGAATTATATGGCTGTCTTCTGAAGTGACCAGAGCCCATGACATTTGCTATGGAGAACAGTGAGGATGGATTTTGTCCTAGAGTTATAGGAGAAACAGTAAGAAAGCTTTGAAGAGGCGCACCCCTGGGGTTGAGACTTTCATACAAACACAGCTGTTGTTATGTATGTTTCAACACATATTTTCAAAGCCACATTTTAATCTGATTCTTTTTTTTTTTTTTTTTTTTGACAGGCAGAGTGGACAGTGAGAGAGAGAGACAGAGAGAAAGGTCTTCCTTTGCCGTTGGTTCACCCTCCAATGGCCACCGCGGCCGGCGCACTGTGCTGATCCGATGGCAGGAGCCAGGTCTCCCATGGGGTGCAGAGCCCAAGCACTTGGGCCATCCTCCACTGCACTCCCGGGCCACAGCAGAGAGCTGGCCTGGAAGATGGGAAACCGGGACAGAATCCGGCGCCCTGACCGGGACTAGAACCTGGTGTGCCAGCGCCGCAGGGCGGAGGATTAGCTTAGTGAGCTGTGGCGCCGGCCTTAATCTGATTCTTACACTGTACATTTCTACAGAATCACCCTGAAGGAGAGAGTTCTGCATGGAAGTTTGAATGTTCACCTGGATGTTTTCTCCACATAATCTACCTGACTCAAATCAAGTTACAAGCACAGAAGCCACATGTTGGATCCATGTTGAAAACATGGTGGCCAATCAGGTGGAGCTCTGAGTATTAAAAATCGTGGTGGTTACACAGCTCTGTACCAGTTAGAACCACACCAATCAGGTAATGGGGAAGCCAAATGTCTTTTCACCAACTTCTTCTAGTTCCCAGTTTTACCTGAAGCACTTAATAGGGTCATTCTACTTGGACTGAAATATGAGTGTCTTCAACAAATTCATGGACAATGTGCATTATTTAAAAACTATGCAAGGGTCTCAAAATATTTTTTGCACCAAAATAAATTTATCTTTTAATTCCATTTTCCACAGTTTACAGTCTCCTCACAACAGTTTTTGCAGATTGAAAACAGATGTGGTATATTGAATGCCGGACAAACTCTTTAAAAATAATAGATAAGTGGTAAAAAAAAAAAAAAAAAAAAAGACACACAGAAAAATCCCAGTGGCTGTGGCTTTGCTAACACTCCCTTGTTAACCTTCTCTTCTCAAGGGCCACCCCAGGCTCTGAACATTCAAGACTGCTTTCTCAGATACATATCTAAATTCAAATTAAAGTCTGTTTTTCAATCAAGGCTCTACAAAATGATACCTATTTAATATGTACTTTGAGACTCTTCCAACATGATCTTAGCATAGGATGGCTGGTTTGCCAACCCTTAGCTTCCCTGGGTTTTCTCAGGGCTTGCTCCTTCATTTAAATCTCCTGGCTGATGAAGAAGGGTCTTCCCAAACTATGTGTGCTAGTCAGCTTTTTGTTAGCCCAGTGATATGCCTGAGAGAAACTAACTCTATCAAGGAAAAGGAGGCTCTTGGGGCTCATGGTTGTGGAGGTTCACAGTCCAAGAACAGGCAGCCCTATGGGTTGGGTCTCTGCTGAGGGCCGCAGAGGTGAGTGTGGAGTGAGTCAAGGAGCAGAGAGAGCTGTAAGGCCCAGGTAGACTTTTATAAGCAACGCTCTCATGAGAACCGCCTCCCAGTGGCACACCCCTAATGATCTAAAGACTTCCCACGAGACCCAAAGCACCGAAGCACCCCAACTGGATTCTGTCTCCACTTACGACTTTGGGGATTAAACACCTGCATGATTCTGATACCACAGCCTGTTCAGATCCCAGTACCATCCTGTCCGAAATTCCCTACCCCCAGATCTCTGCCTGTGATACTGCTTTACATGACTTTATTCCACTTTACAAGGCAATCCTGTCACAGCAGTAACAAGACTACAGAACATAAAAAGAAATCAGTCCCAGAAACCCCACTATCTGGTGACTTGCTTGTCATTTGTCTCCTTAACCAGAATGCAAGCTCCAGGCAGGCAGTGAGTCTGTCTTGTTTCCTTGCTACTCCTCATCACTCAGAACATGATCTGGCACAGAACACATACTGCATAAACATTTATTAAATCAGTAAGTAAATGTATGCATGACTTGGAGTCTAAAAACAAAGCAACTCTTGGGAAATCCTATGTAGCTCCTGGCAGAAAAATTCTTTCAATCTATATTCTAGAATATTTTGGAGTTAGTGAATAGTCAAAGTTAGTGATGCAAATAATCCCTACACATGCTTTCCATGTCTTTTTAACTTGCAGTCAAATACAACTGATATATTATTTTTGTGGTACTATTTTAACTAAGCCATGTGCTTTGTGTGGAATGTCTGGATTTTTCTACAGTTAATGGACACATTTTGGTAGAAGCTATGTCATTTGTTTCCTGCATTTGCGGATTCCCCGTGGTTTGAAGTCTTAAGGAGAGCTGGCAATACGACAGAAAAGATGCAGACGCTGGAATCGTCTAAGCACTCACAGGAATGCATTTTCGTAAATCATCACATTTCCCAATTTCAAATCATTGTTGAGGACTTACGTCTTGAGTCAAAGTTTCAAGAGACTTCCCCCTGCTGATCCTCTGGCTGTTTGATCCGTGTCTTAGTGACCTAGGGCAACCACAACCAACTGGTCAATACAACTCAACATCAGCTTTTGATGCCTAAGCAACGACCATGACATAAAATACAACAATTGTTCTGGTACAGTGTCACAAAAGCCTATCATGTCTTCTAGAGCTAAAGTTTATAGTCCACTCAAATGTCTTGGAAACCTTCTAACAAGATTCAGACTTTTTCCTACTAATCTCAAAAGTGGGAATTCGGTCACCACCAGGGAAAAGGTGTTTGAAGTAAAGGTTAAAAAAAAAAAAAAAAAGCTTGGAATCTGATTGTGAATGACATTATTGCTCAGCTCCTTGTCGGTGCCTGTCTGGCCAGCAAGGGCTGGTGGCGTTGGCTGTGGACGGTGAGAACTTCCTACAAAACTCCCTTTCTGGTGTCCCTGTAGCCCATCTTCCTGGAGTAGTTACCTGCGCTCTTGGCGAATATGATGCTGCACACTGAGGATTGACCTCTCCTTGGCTGGTTGCCCCTCAAATGATCCACTCAGCATGCGCTGTCGAGTGCAAGCTCTAGAAGAGAAAGAGAGCCTGAGATACGTGCCTGATTTGTACACTTGGGATGAATAATACATAACTGCTCATTACTCTTCTTATTTTTAAGGAAACTCCAATGATGTGGCAAGGGACATGTGATGATCAAGGAAAATGAGCCTTAAGCTGTGTCAAGCACATGTGCAAAGCAAAGTGTTACAGCTATGAAGAGGAGCTAGAATAAATAGAAAGGTCCCCTCCTGACCCTTTACTCCCTTCCCCAATACAAAATGGTAGCGCTTCTAGGAGGATTGTGTGAGCCACAAGGCAAGACTACCCACAGGCAGTCCTGATGTTGGTTTTGAGTTTAAACAAGGAAGTTGCTAAGAAAAGCCCTTAGGGAAGGATTTGGGCATCCAGGCCCCTGAGGAATGACACACATGTTCCAACAAGGTCTTGCAGAACTTTAGGAAAATAGGAAAGCATAAAGCTGGAGGCAAAAATGAGCCATTGAGAGAAATAACTGAAGCTGGAATGATCCATAATAAGGTGAACACACTTAACACTACTGAACTGCACACTTAGAAATGGTAAAGGCTATAAATTTTATGTTACATGGTTTTTGTTTTCATCACAACTTAAAAAGTCTGGAATCATTACGTAAAGCTTATGGTTTAATGATAACCAGTTACCACTTTGTACTCTCAAAATCATGAAGACTTTAAAAACATGCTCTCTTTTAGATCATCACCAGGCTGCTGTCAATGTCAGATTTACTAACGTGTGAAGACGACTGGGTGACCCAAAACCTGTGGTGTGAATGATTTTGGTGAGAAAGCAAAATTTGTTTTCCAGAAGGCTCTGTCCAACTGGGAATGACAGGAATTCCACTGAGGCAGAAGTCAAGCAGAAAGAAAGCAATACAGAGGTCAAAAGGCCCATGTGCCAGACGGAGACCAACCCTAGCCAGCTGGGTAGAGCATCACTGACCAATGATTTCATTATATGAAAATCTAATGACCCCATATTTGTTCAACATCTCAACACTTGTACCATTGCTTCTCTTAACACTCCCATATTTACATTTAAAATTCATTTCTATCATAGCTTTGAGTTGGTACCACCTGTCTCAGAGCTAAGAGCTTTGAGAAAGGGGTGTGAACCCCCAACCATACCCAAAACTGCAGCTCCTACACACCGCGTATGCTTATGCACTCCAGTGTGCTTTGGATGTGGATAAAGGTAAGTATGATGCGGATCCATGAAAAAATCATGCACATTCAATAAACTGAAGTGTATTGCTAGAAATCAAGGCCAAACAATGACCAGTTTTAGTTTAGCAAGCAACAGACAAACCCAAGTCAAATTTTATTGAACACCAAGATTTAACACAGTGATGATAGAGATATTATATAGACTCTAGAATAATGTCACCCAGGAAGACACATTCCTAAGTGCAGAGGAGCTGACAAAAGCAAAGCAGATTCTCCTTATGTACATTCAGGGTTGATTTTTGAACAATGGACTGAAAAGTATGATGACATCATTTGAAAATCCATTCAGAACAAACTTATTCTAGCATGGATATCCAGGTCCCCTGCTATTTGTGTAAACCACCAAGAGTGTCCTTCGGCTTTTATCTTAGCAACTCTGATGTTTTTCTCACAAGACTCTTCCATAAAGTGATTGAGACCTAAAGACCTTAGGACCAAAATACATCCACCTAGATTATAACAGCCCATGTGAGTGTGAGTGTGAGTGTGTCTGCTATGCTGGAAGTGGAGCGTGCCACTGGCTGTGGGCTGTGTGTTGTGAGGCTTGCTACTGATTTCTCTACCTGCCCAGCCAGGAAAGGCCTGGGTCTGCTGATGGAGAAGGGCTCTGACTACACCTGCTGGCTCCAGAGCCTGACTGCATCTCCTGGCACCCAGGTCAGTGCGCCATGCCCAGGTCCCCTGGGGCGGACTCTGCAGCTAAGGAGGGCAGGCAGGTTTCTATGGAAACCTCAGCTGTTGGGAAGACCCCCACGCTGGCTCCATTCTTCTTCTTCCAAGAGCCTGGCTAAAGGGATGGTGGAGAGAAAGTCACCTTTTCCTCTTTGGCTCAGAGGCATTTGCTTCCTTTAGAGAATTCAGAAAATACTATCACAACAAGCTGGGATTTTCACTGTGCATTGTTCTCTATATGACCCACTCTTTGGGGGAGGAGGGACTGGTTTTCAGCTCCACCTTGCTAAGCCATCAGCAAACACTAACATAGTCCTACTTAAATGTGTGGCAATACACAAAAACAGCCGCTGTCATTTTCTCTCCTCTCTCTTTCTGCACTGTTTGCTAGGATGATTTCAAACTGGATAATCATGGAAACAAGAAGAAAACGTTCAGTAACTCTGGACTTGCAAATTAACAGCAGCTAAACTCATAACCTGTGATTACAGAGCTCCGTGTGAGTCAAACATATGACTCAGAGTTTCTCAGTGACAAGGCACTGCCACAGCCCTCCTGTCCCCTGAATGAAGGGGTATGAACTCCTTCTTGCTATCTGGGGTCCTAAAGGCACCCACAGAATCTGAGCACAGGGAAGTCAGGCCACCTAACTTCAGGATTAGGAGGTCACGGTTGGTACTCTGGGCTGCCTATTCTACTTCCTCTAATCTCCTGTGCTGGCCCCCACCTGGGCCTCCTCTTCCATAACCATGATCAGTAAAAGGCAAACGTCCCCACGTTCAATGGTCAGTGTTTTGTTATGTCTGTTCTTGGACCATGAGCTCTGATATCTCATTCTTTCCTTTGAGTGTGCCCGTGGCTTGGATCTAAGAAACTCCACAAGCAAATGCTGGGGTTTCTTAGCTGAAAATTAAGGGCTATATTTACTTAGAAAAATTGCTAAATAAATACTTGCATGTAGGCAGTGGGGAGTGGCACGTGACTAGAAGTTCATCTGAAAGGTCCAAGAGGCTTCTCACCCTACTGAGTACAGAGGTGGGATATTGTTAAGACTATAAAGAAAATGCCACTTCTAGGCACTGCATCCGTTACAGTTAATAACCAGCCTACTTATAATAATTTTCCAACAAAAACAGGTGATGATACAGATGAATCAAGTTTTCTATAGATACAGGCATTCACATCCATCTAAAGAAAGCATAAGATGGAACCTAACTACATTCTACGCAGAGACAAGCAGAAACCCAGGGTAACAGGAGGACCTCAGAAGGGAGAATGCAATCCTGGGATAGGAGGGGATGATGGGAGCATGGGGGTGGGAAATGGGTTTCTTGAAACTTCCCAGACATCAAAACACGTGTAGAGGTGTAGAAAGAGCATCACATCAGAATATTTCTGCTTAAATAAAACAGCCTCATCCCTAAACTACTGTCACAGTCTTTGGTCATGCAACACATTTTGCTATCTTGGAAAACAATGGCATTGGTGCAAAGTTAGTAACATCAAATGGGTGTGACCTGAATTCCTGAGAGGTTACAAAGACTCCAATACAATGTGCCAAACTTCATACAAAAGTGCAAGTTTGTTTTATTATTTTTAAAGGCAATACAACTTTCTTATATACAAATAGATAGAGTAACCCAAACCATGAACCACCAAATCATGTTCTGATGTGCATAGTGCAATTCCAAGCTTGACATAAATGGGCTCTGGTAAGTAAATAAAGCGAGACACGGCTATCTCACCCATGTGAAAGCTCAGAAAACATGATTTCTTGCACAGTGCGTATTCTTGAAGCCTGAGACTCACCAGGCTGGCTCTAGGCTATGGCACTTTGTCATCATTAATTATACCCCTCGATCGAGAGCGCAAGCTCTTCAGGGACCAGTTTATCATTCATCAGCATCTTCCCAGGAAGCTCAGTGCTCAGCAGCCGAGTGCCCGAAGGACAGAATGACTAAAGAAAATGCCAGGGTGAGAGGAGAGAAAGGGGGAAGGGACTTTTTGTGCTGGTTCAGAACTTGCTAGATTTCAATGTTTCCAGTAGCCCAGTGGGTTTACAATTTCAAATCCCAGCAAGGTGGCTATGGATAGAAAGGTCTACCTTCATCTGGAAACTCAGTGGAGAAGAGTTGAGAAAGCACAAGGTTTAGAAATATGCACTTCTGACCTCAGCTTTTATTCCATGTGGGACCTCAGGCAAATGGCACGCCTTCTCTGAGCCTCTGCCCTCCACACGTAAACCGTGGAGAATAATAATACCTTCCCTGCTTACATCCCAGGGCACTGGAAGACACCAGGATGATTACAAATGGGAAAGAGTTCTGGAAACACTGACACTTTAAATGTAATTTTAGATGCTATTATTTCCTTTTCTGTATTCTGTGTCATGATTGTTAAAATTCTATAGTACAGGGTTTTTTAAAAATATTTATTTATTTATTTATTTGAAAGGCAGAGTTATAGAGAGAAAGACACACACACACACACACACACACACACACACATCTTCAATCAACTGGTTCACTCCCCAAATGGCGACAATGGTCAGGGCTGGGACAGAATGGACCCAGGAGCTAGGAACACTATCTGGGCTGCAAGGGCCCAAGCACCTGGCCCATCTTTGGCTGCTTTCCCAGGCACATTAGCAGGGAGCTGGGTTGGAAGTGGAGCAGCTGGGACCTGAATTGGCACTCATATGGGATGCCTGCATCACAGGTGGTGGGTTACCCTGCAGTGCCGCAGTGCTGGCCCTCACAGTTCAGGGTGTAGGCAGCAGGTTTGGCAGAGCTCACCGTGGAAAGTGAGGCTTTCCTGGCCTGACTGATCCACAGTGACGCCCACCAGGGACCAGTGTCACAGCCTCTTCACTGGTCTTCAAGCACGCACTCTGCGGCATGTGTTGTACAATGAGCCCAAGCCAAGTGTCTTCTGAACTAGATGTTGGTGATGTTACTGTGATAGGCAGGGTTTTAAGGTGGCCCCCAGTCATCCCGGCCTTGTGGGTTGCATGCCCTTGTGATGGGACAGGTTATAAAAGACTGTAACTTCTTTCTTCCTGGAATACTCTCTTGCTCTTGCTCTCTCACTCCA